CCCAAGGGTCATTAACGAAGTGGGCAGGGCTATTGATGTTAAGGTGAGAAATTATCGTGTTGTATGTGCCTATGATATGATCACCCGGAATGCACCATCCCTATCTCGCCAAATCTCGGAAGCTATGCAGAGTTAAGCTTGGATTTAGTGGATTGATGGACGACCACCAGCATGTCATTGGACGACTTTCAACGGGCTAACGTGGTGGGCAGGATTAAAATCCATTGCTGTGCTGTTCTTATATGCGTCAATGCGCTTCCCCCATTCACCAATCTGCATTGCACTATCGTGGTGGCCAAATAACCAACCTGCCCCCACGACCAGTACGGGGTTGGGGTGGCCCTCACCCAGCAGTGGATTTACATTTACATAAGTTCACGTTGCAGAAAAACAATTTCAAGTCATAGGGAAACTTAACATAATGACGCATGGGGGGGGGGGGGCAAGCCAATGGGGGTAAAATGACTAGACGATTGCCGGTGTAATATTAGTCATCAGTTCTGACTTTTAAGACCGTCTAGCAGTTTAGAACGTTACATCAGAATCACGGAAACTATTGTGAAACGTTTAAAACAATTAAGAATTTGTCTATTCAAAGAGAACGGGACGTGCAAGTGACTGGCATGGAATTCTTCCGTGCAATTTTTTTTGCGAGAGAATAAAACTCGACCACGTAAAATGTTTCCAAGCCCCCCCCCAACAATTTAAGTAACATTTATTTAAAATCTGGTAAACATATTTTATGTTAAATCCAATGTCTGTTTCGGGACTAATGGTAAACACCGGTCGTCTAAACAAGGCCCAGGCAGGAACTCGGTGCATTTGGAGTGCAAATAAAAAAAATCGTGACTTTTGTTTGACTGTAGGCATTAAAACGCAGATATAGTTTGCAGGAGGCATTACATTAATCGACCTAAATTTAAATACACGTTTAAAGTGTGTTTAGAAATAAACCAAAATCGCGCGCGCCCGCACGCGCCGAGGCCTACACGGCGAGGCCTGCGCTCGCCTAGTTCGACGCATAACGCCGCACGCCGATGACTCGATATTGTCCTCGAATCAACTACGTTAATCTACCATTACAATTGTGACTTTAAAAAAAAACCCCACCACGAATACGTTGAAGCGGAACATTACAATGCGGGCGGTGTATGTGAATATGTTTAAATTATGACGATTTTTTTTAAATGTTTATTTGATTGGTACAGTAATATATACTGTACTGTCAAACCACATTGCATCTGGGTGCTGTTGCTTGCTACCTTGGCAGCAACAATGGGCCGTCATCATAGCATAAATAATGTCCTTAAGAAATAGTTTTTAAAAAAAACTATACTCTCCAGTATTAATTGCTAATAAAACACCGTACTTTCATAAGTACAGGGCCTCTCCCACGCCGTGCCAGTTCATGGGGGGGGATTTATTTGACCATATTTCACCACGCTCATCAGTACGTGGGGGGTATGTAAAGATTAAATGCACTGTTGCGCCGTAATGTCCATACTCCCGCATTTTCACCACCCCGCACTGGTCCACCGTGGTGAAGTATGGTCGAATAACCCCCCCACAAGGCGGGGGGCAGGCGCTCATCCAGCGGTGGATTGACAAAGAGGGCCGTACCCGTACGTACGTGTACGAGAATGCGTTTACGTGATTTTGAAAACATCGGGAAATGACTGTAAAGGGGGTAAACGTCACAAACTACGGCAATCTGAGGGTAAGCCCAACGAAGATAAGATTTAGCGACGATTAAATCAGCTGGGAGGATTAGATGTCAGCACTGCGAGAGATGGTGGCGGATTTGGGAAGGCCTTCATCCAGCAGTTGACTGACCATGGCTGCTGTTGCTGATGATGATGGGAGCTTTATTTGGACAAGCCGCATTCCAGTATAACAGAGGATGCGTTTAATGTCCTAACAACTACTCGCCCTTACAATGGGAATGCGGAATTCCTCCCACCTTGATAACCCTAAGAGCAAAAAACTTACATCAATTACTTACTTTACCTGGGGTCTTTAGACAATTACTAAACACTAATGTCGTTGCATTTGAAAAATCATTGCCCATAATATATATTTTTTGTTAGGTTAGATCGCAAAAAATATAAATGTGGTGTCGTCAAAACCGCCACCACCCGACACCCAATTAGTAAGGGGTTTGTGTCACGTAAAGCAGAACGTGGCCAATTCGTTACTAGTACAGCACTACAACATTCACAATTCGAGCGTGCTGTACCAGTAACGAATTGGCATGTTTTTGTTTTTACGTGACAAACTTCACGAATTGGTAGCGTCGGGTGGTGGCGGGTTTTAACGACACATTTATGCAATGTCATCCAAAAACTTATTATGGATATTGGTCGCAAAAGCCCAACGACTCCGTGTCATTGCATTTAGGCTATTTGTTATTTAAAACAAGTTTGTTGTCAACGTCAGTAATGATAACAACACTACTATACTGATTATTTTATTTTTCCTGAACCAGGACTGATGATGAACGTAAAGTACTGCACGTGTTTAAAGAGAATATTTATGATAATTTACAGTATACAGTGGCAGGCTATCAGTGACGAGCGATGAGAATGTGTTTAGTTACGTGGACATTTATGCGACTATTAAAAACACTGCTGATGGTCATGAGTAGTATTAGTATTCATATCGTGTCACTGATGACCACGTAGACTATTAAATGCAATGACTAACGTTAAACAAAATGAACATGCGGATGACCAAATCACCCGGAATGTGCCCCACCTCGTAAAATATCTGAAGCTATGCAAGCTTAGAGCATTAATATTGCTCGTTTGAGTAACTATTATGCGCAACAGGTTGCTATTGGCTAAGAGGCCACGTTGCGGGCAGTAGTCAGCAGTGTACAAAATGCAATTGTGTACAGTACTTCTATGCTCCCAACCTTCACACCAACACGTATTGACCAGCGTGGTGAAGTATGGTCAAACACCCCCATGACCAGCTCGGCGTTAAGCAGCATTCATCCAGGAGTAGATTTTGCAATATTTAAATGAGTGTCAATATTGAGCACATCCATTGAAACTATACATGGCACAGGATCAATGTTGTTACCAGCAGTGTTCGAATTTCAAACTCTCTAATTTACACATTAAACATTTATTAGGGTCTTGCGATTCGTAACGGTGTTAGTAATAGGCTCTTGGGCTCTTTGGAGTATGCAAAGAAATTAAACAATGCCGCGACTCAATGGGTGTTAAATCAGAACTAGCACACCATTGAATTACGCACATCACTGATCATATTCCGGCAGTGTCCCTGTGACTACAATCATAGTTAATGTTCCATCAATGAGTGGGCATACTTGACACATTACCGTCGAGTGCATTGATTGATCACTTATGCGTCTATCATCAGTCGTGATGCTGGTATAATTACTGCAGTCCACTCATACACAGTCCAATATTCACAATGCACATTTACCGGTGGCTGTTTACGCAGCGTTGTACGGAATCTCTATACCTCCTCTATGCGTCTCGGTCTACAGCAGCGTGAATACCCCAGCGTGAATACCCCTGGGGTATTTCACCATACTTCTGTACTTTAAGCACGGATGCTATCAACACACTATCATGCGTATTACTGCAGGTTCAGTGACATCAAGAAAATAAAATAACCACTATCCACATTTAATGTATCGGTCAGACTATAACAGTGACGTACCGTAGTGCCTAAAATTAAGTGGCCCAGTCTTATTTCACACAATTGTGAAGCACTAACTGGTACTAGCAGTGGTTATTTTGGGTATATCCAGGAAGGCCACAGTCATCCGTAGAACTCTGAGGGTATTTATTCATATGACAGTGTTTTAAGCTAATTAGTGATGAGTTGTGTTTATTACACACGTGCCGTGGAAAACCCACGCCCGCGAAAGGTCAATACTCTTGAGATCACCGGCGAATACGAATTCCTTCCCAAGCCTACTTGGAGAATCTATAAGTCGCTGTTCATTAGCCGTGCGAAATCATCACCAAAGTCTACGCGAGTAACATGCAAAGACTGTGAGTGGCCTATCGAATCCGCTGCTACCATAAGTCGTGATGTAAAGTACTGCTTACTGTAATGCACTGCCTTATCTAATTAATGCCGATTAACACCGCTCTTGTTAAAAGTTCACCAAAAACAGCAAAACGTCGTGCCAGCAATGGGATGAGGGCGCTTCATTTAAACTACACAGTACTTAACCACTACTGACACTAATCATACTATTACTAGCTCACCAGTAAACACCATGCACTGTATATTACTTAACACTAAAACATGTTTATTAAAGACGTTATAAACGATGACACACGTGACAGTACCCAGCATTGTGATGAGTGGCCTATCAAATCCACATTACCCACTGCTACTCTCAATAGCAGTATGCAACATCAGTATCACAGATTCCCTCATTGACCTCTCTCTCTACACATTAACCACTCGATCTTCGTAACGTAACGTGCATGCTGGGCACGTTTATAATACCAGAGTAACGTAAAGTGTTGGGTGGCATCAGCTCTGGGATGAGCGTGGCCTAATTCACACTCTAAAGCGATCGTCAACGATACTTAGAGCTGCAAGGCGAGTAACAAACGTCACGCTCAAATTAACCAACACTTTACAGTCCCAACAATAGTAACGTGAACACTGCAACCCGACGTGAAATAGTGAGCCCCGAAAGAGCGGCCTACCCCATTCACGCTAACACTTACCCCCCCACAACCTCAACAACCACGATTTATAAATCCCACAGCGTAAACCCAGCGGACGCGTTCTACGAAACTCTCGTCTCGGGTAACGATAACAGCAGAGACGTCAAACAACGTCGCGCAACGCACGGACACAGGGCCACGGCGGTCAGCCCGTAGGGGCGTGCGGGCGCTGGGGGCTACTACGAAGGAGAGGCCGGACGCCCGAGGCCGCCATGTCCCGCCGGTTCCTCCTCTCCTCCTCCCCTCCTTCTCCTTCCCACCCCCCGACGCGCGCACCTCCTTCACGGTGGACGAGGCGGCGATCACGAAGTCCTCCTTGTCCTTGGGCGTCTTCACCGTCACGCGGATCTTGTCGCCCTCCGCCATGGCGAGAGGGGAGGTTGCGTGGGTGGTGGTGGTAGTTGGGGGGGGGCGGAAGGGGGGGGGGGTAGGAAACCGGTGCCGATGAGAGCGAGCGGCGAGTGAAGGGAAAGAGAGCGAGAGATGACGGGAGAGAGAGAGGGAGAGAGCGAGCGAGCGAGAGAGAGAGCCAAGCGACCACAACCACCACCACCACGAGCACCGCAGCCGCCACTGCAGAGCCACGGACCAACCGCCAGGGGTCCAATCACAGGCGGCGACGAGCGCCACGTGACGGGCCGAGGCGAGTTGAAGTCCCCGTGCCATGTTGCGTGAGGGCAGAGCCATTTTAGTGCCGCATGGAGGAGCGGAGAGAGAGAGAGAGGGGTGGGGGGTGGGGGGTGGGAGAGACGTTTTTATTTGGCTCTGGTCACCGCTTGCATTGGAAATCTTTGCTTCTTCCCCCCCCACCCACCTCCTCCGAGTGGCGTCTCAAAAGGATGAAGCGACGGCGCCGGCAGACATCTTGGTAAAGGGGGTTTTACGGGCTTCATAGTTGGGATTGAACGTCTTCATCATGGTCCAACCTAAACCGCATCCGCTGCACGAAGCGTGGCCACGGTCGATGCGGATACCCGACGCGTGCACACATGGAAAAATGTAAAACAATTCACCAGTAGTCAGGGGGGGGGGGGGTGCGACCGTGGTCATCCAGAACGGACCGTAGAACGCATAAACGATGCAGTGGCCCCGATCCACGGATCCACGAAGGAGACATCACGGCAGGTTGCGTGGGGCTTTGACCACCTGAATGTGAAATTTTTCGTCGTTGGCTCTGCGTCTACATCATCAGCCGTACGAGGACGTATGGTGAAGATCGTCATCGCGAGACGTGCTCTACCCGCTGCTGTTGTTGACTGCTGTCGTGGCAACAAAAATAACAAAGCAAAGCCAATACAATTATTTTTTTAAATTTAGTACAAAACTCAACAGTATTTCAAGAGCTGGTCCAAATTGTAATAATGCTATGCTAGGTAAATCAAAGATGGTTATTACGTCTAGATTTGAAGCTTTCTTGACTGCAAGGATCCATACTATTTGGTTCTATTCGGTAAAGTCACGTAGGTAAAAAATTAAAACAAAAATCACGTTTTTTTTGGCCGCTTGTGTTGTGGCCAAAACTGTCGTGATTTTTGTTTAAATTTTTTTACCTACGTGACTTTACCGAATAGAACCAACGAATATGGTTATTACTGTATCTGTGTATTACAATAATTCTCCAATCCACATCGCTGTCAACCAATCACGGTTTAGCCCGTATTCTTGTACAGGGAAATTGAGTTTTCAGGTTCATACGGCGTACAGACGTTTCAATACGGGCATCATTTATTTTTGTCTATTTGTTTGTGTTTCTCCCTTGTGATGGGACTTTGTAGGATGAACGTTGAGATTTATAAGGGGCACGGGGTCACCAATAAGGTCTGAATTGGTCTCTAATAAGGTAGGGCACTGATAAGGAGTTGACAGGTATTAATCCGGTATGTAGAACGCAAATATTCTTCTGATTCATATTTTACTTAATTTTGGGTTAGATCGTGTGGGTATATCACATTTTAACTATAACCCAACACCACCCGACAGAACCAATTAAATCGAGTTGTCACGTTGGGAAAATTATGCCCAAATTGATTTGGTTTCTCAGCAAAACTAAAATGTTGAAAAGCTGAGCTTTGAATTTCTTTTACGTGATTTCTTCAGATCTGTCCGGTGGTGGAGGGTTATAGTCACCAAATATAAACTCATGATCAAACTGGTTGTAAAATCCTCCATGGAGACGTTACGGTATATTCTTCATATCATTGTGCATATACCTTGTGGGGCTCTTGACTCGGAATCTAATTTGTTTTTTTTTACACTCTAATCTCGTTGCAAAAATAACTCACAGACTTTGTCAATCTGCTGGATGAGGGGCCCTCCCCACGCCATAAGGCTCCAACACATCTAAATACCGAACTGTTAAATATAACTCATCAAATTAATATTACTTAGGCAGTGATTGTTGAATGAGTGCTGGTATCGAATAATTTTGGGTCGCACTCGGAACCCATATCGTCGAGAGAGGTACCTGGCCAACAAGCATTTGGCAGTACAAATTTTATTTAAAGCTTTCGTGACTGCAGGGATTCATCTTCTTGGTTTTTTCGGTAAAGTCACGTAGAAGGGAAACAATAAAACATAATAAAATCAAATTCTCACGACGTTTCGGCCACAACACAAGCATCCGTCCTCAGTTATGTTTCTTCACCTGAGGACGGCTGCTTGTGTTGTGGCCGAAACGTCGTGATAATTATAGTTTTATTTTTTTATTATTTCCCTTCTACGTGACTTTACCGAAAGAACCAAGAAGAAACATCTGGCAGTTCCACCGACATCGATTCAAGCGAGCCTTGACTGCTGATGAGACATTGAATATTGGAACAGGTCACACACAGAGTCGTGGTGGCCTTGAATCAATGCTGCTGAGAAAGCATGCAACTTCCCCCAAGGAAGACCGCACGGCTGATGGACACGCATATCTATCAACCCCATTATTATTATAGACCAATTCAGACCTTATTGGTCACACGGTGCCTTTAAAAATCTCAACGTTTATCCTACAAAAGTCCCATCACAAGGGAGAAACGCTATGTATTTATTTTGCCCTTATTTAAACGGCTATACGCCGTATGGACCTGAAAACTCAATTTACCTGTACAAGAATACGGGTAAACTGTATGGGTTGACACGGTATGGATACGTGAGCAGGTAACGCTCATTAAGTTACAGATTTTTTAAAATATATTTTCATACCCCACTGAATATGGCTACAGCGAAGGCTTGGGGTTCTGCTAATGACGTCACCACCGCTTGACGTTGCTTTCATCGTACGTACAGCAAACATTCACATTTTTGTTGTTGTTGCAACAATACGATTAAAAAAAAATGTGTTTACTCAAAAGCAATGTCGCCGGATGCGCAAGGAAAAATGGATTCGATATTTCCGCATCAGAACTTGGGAGGCTAACCGGAAGTGGCCAGACCGCCATCTTACGTAGGGGGAGATGCGGAAGGAAGCACGTGCCGAGTCGGGGTTGCGAGCGGAAGTCTGCAGGAACAATAATAATAGCAATACAGCCTACATGCACAATCATAATAATAGCAATACAGCCTACATGCACAATCATAATAATAGCAATACAGCCTGCAGGAACAATAATAATAGCAATACAGCCTACAGGCACAATCATAATAATAGCAATACAGCCTGCGGGAACAATAATAATAGCAATACAGTCTACATGCACAATAATAATAGCAATACAGCCTACATGCACAAACATAATAATAGCAATACAGCCTACAGGCACAATAATAATAGCAATACAGCCTACAGGCACAATAATAGCAATACAGCCTACATGCACAATAATAGCAATACAGCCTACAGGCACAATCATAACAATAGCAATACAGCCTACAGGCACAATAATAATAGCAGTACAGTGTACAGGCACAATCATAACAATAGCCTACAGGCACAATCATAATAATAGCAATAGAGTATATAGGCACTACCACAAGAATATAGATTATATATTTGTGCATAAGGGGCCGTCCATAAATTGTTACGATTTTGGACGCTTTTTGACCCCCCCCTCAAATATGACGTCACAAAGCTCTGCCCCCCCCCCCACCCAATAAAAATAAAACATGCTTCAAATCGCTTTAAACTATTGTCATTTTAGTGCGTATTTAATGTGGCGCTGCACTCTGATGTTGAAGAAAACATTTACTTAAAAGTCTAATTAAGTAGAACGTGTTGTCTATATTTATTTAAAGTTGCGCATTTTGATGTGACGTCACAAATGTCTGACCCCCCCCCCCCCCCTAGGTGCGTGACGTCATTTATGGACGGCCCCTAAACAAAACGGCGAGTGGGCGGCGCGCCGTTGGTTCTCAAGCGAACGCGCGCCCTGTAGGACGGGAGCCGTCTCCCTCTTCCGGAAGACGCGCACGTGCACGAACCCCCATCGGGTAGGAGGGTTCTGGAATGTTCTGCGGTCACCGCTCTCTTCTGGAAGTGTATTGGGTTGTTGTTGTTGGAGCGTTCTGAGCCGTCACTGACTGAACATATGTGAAAGAGCTTTATAGCTCATCGGATTACTCCAATACTGGATAAACATTCTAATTCTGAGGCCTTCAAATTGCACAGCAGTAACGTGAATCATGGACAGAGGCGCAACTGGAAACGTCTCAGTGGGTGGCAGGGCGGCAGAGGGTAGTTTCCGAAATCTCACGATTTTCAAATAGGGCCCGACATTGATATCATACCTTACTATATTATAACTGATTTGTGTTGTCCTTTTTCCACACTTCCGATTAGCACAGTTGGCTACATAAGGTGCGAAAGAAGCTCAACATACATACAGTAAAAAAAACTTCGCTGGCACACACGTGCGTGGTGACGTCACCTGAGCCAGATTTGTGCGTGTGTGGTGAAGTATGGTCAAGCGATGACTGACGTGGTATGGAGCCATTCATCCAGCCGTGGATTTAAACGGCTACAAATTATTTTTAATCTGGATATCTCCCATTGTTACAATCTTAAATAAACGTGATATTTAAAGGTAAAGACTGAAAACCATGTCTGGAACACAATAAAAATGTTAAACCCTTTACCCAGAAACGAGCCACAGAGTCTTAATATTTTTCATAATGGTCCTCCTTTAAATGAGGGGTTGGCTTTGTGCGAGAGGAATCCAGAAATACAGCCACACTAAAATGGGGCAACACTGAGCACTCCTGGCCACCTCGCAGCCGAAGGCATCTCGAATTCCAAGTCTCAAACTCGAGCACTGATCAGGCTTCATCATCTTAGCTTCGAAATTATAACGAGATTGGCCAATTTATTCCAACTTTTTAGTGTAAACATACAGTAAAAACGTTTAAAACAAAACACAAAACAATTAAAGACACTATCAAGTGTTATTTATTTTTAATCGTTTAGAAAAAATAAGATACTTCATGTAATTTACCTAGAAAAACTTCAGACTAAATAATAATTGGTCAGGGGGGGTCATGCTTTGAGAGGTTTGACCAATTGGCCAGCGTTTATTTCTGTTAGGGCTGGGTGGAGCGGTGGGGCAGCAGTTAGGCAACTCGCTTGAGTTCAATTCCTGGCCATGGCTAATATCAGGAGTGATATATAAACCAGTACTGGGCCCCCATTCCTTTCACCAACCTGCAGTCTCTTGTATATCTCTCATCTCAAATAGCCTGTATCTCTCTTTGCCTGGGCGAACTATATTTCTGTGGGTCATAGCTCGGTGTGCCACGAGAATAGCCTTCTGGCTCATGGGCTGCCAGTTGAAAAAAACTTGAATTGAAAATCCAGGCTCAAGGCAAAATTATGTAGACCTCATTTCAAAATTTTCCGTTAAAAGTGCGCTGGGTTGGTTTCGTTGCTGCCGGTTTTTTGCTACCGGCAGGTGGATTGTGTTGAAAGATGGTCGAAAGTATGGCTCTGCATAAGCAAATGCGACAATACCATATGTACTGTTACTACTCTTGGGCCCCGAATCGTGACAACCAAATCGTGGTTATCGGTGGGAAGCAATTGCTATAGGCAGGGATTATTTTATCACCCAATATTTTCCGGGTCACCGGTAGACCAGAGTAGGTGGCACATGACCAGTAGCCACAGCCATAGCAAGAGGTAAACTGGATGTGGTGTGTCAGCTACAAATATATTTTTAGGGTCGCTGACCCACAGACAACCAGCTGAAATTAAGCCCTGGGTACAAAGCCTCATTGGAAGATATATGGTGGGGTGCACACACGTGATGAGATTCACGCCTGTGTGGGTTTTCACGGTTGTGCTGTACAGTTCTACGATGTTTTCGGGTTGTACTGCAATGTTCAGCGTAATGCCAAATGTTTTGGTCCACGTGCTGAGAGTTTTCAGTTCCTGGAAAAGCTCTCAGCACATGGTGCAAAAAACTTGAGCATCATGGATAATTAAATCATGTTTTCAAATATAGTGGCTTTATGGTCTCAGCCCAGTTCACCAATGACTGTGATTTGGCCGAATTTAAGCTCTGACAATTAAACCATTTAATGGATTGTAAAGCAACATTAAACGGTTATAGCCCATTCTTGGGTCGTCAGGTCCATTTCCAACCTGCTTCCTGCATACAACGCAGTCATTTTGTGAAGGCACTGGTGGACCATGAACTGCATCAGAATATCAACAGGCCGCTGCAAACATTTTCATTAATGTAAAATTAAAGACAAGTCACAGTGCGACCGTGACCATGTAACCCAAACTATGGACCATATGACATAACCACTGTAGTCTGCGCTCCTCCAATGATAGAATAGCAAAACTATGCCAACTCTCTCCTGAAGCCCTCTTGTGGCTAACAGGCCTCGATGCAGGCATTTAACTCCTGGACATGTTTCCACATGCAAGAATATAATAGAATTCGGTGAAAGTTGTCTGCAACCACGTGCTTGCAGTTCCTAAAGAAGTTCCTCGTACGCAGAGCCAAAGGCCGGAGATCACGCTGAACAACACGTGGTACAACCCGAAAACACACACGGGAGACATTCACTCTGCCGGCCCGTGCGTCTCAACGTCCATGATGAAGCTCTCGACGGCCTTCAGGTACGCAGGCTTCAGGTAGTCCTTAAGCTCGCGCCGCGTCACCCAGACGTGGCGCGGCCCCGCGGTGGCACAAGCATCAGCGACTGTGCCAGTGACATCACCGCCCAGCAGCACTGCCTTGAAGAAGAACACTTTGGCTCCAATGGCGCTGGGCTGGCGCATGGCGACCGGGAACTTGTAGCGGTAGAACCCAAACGGCGCGTTTCCCATGAACTTAGCTTGCAGCCCAGAACCTGCACCGCCACACACGGTCGTCATCAGCATCATCAACCATGGTCAATCCCGTTCCTAGACAAAAGGCCTTCCCAAGCCATCGACATCTCTCATAGCCTTGAGACGTAACAATTCGCCTCGCACGTGATAACAAGCTGATGTCATCACTCGCGGGCACGTTAAGTAGTATGGTTGTAGTGCAGCGGTGCTATGATGATGGTGCGATGATGCTGCCGTGATGTTGTTGGTGGCTTCAGTGAAGAATATGCGAGCGCTACAGCGGACAGCTAGCTGCACCCCCTCTCATCCCTTTATCTCTCACCCGCAGCGTCTCCGAGTGCTCTCTCAGCCGTGTCGCGTAGCGTCTCGCCCTCGTTCCACGCCACCTGTGGCAGGAGCCACACGTCTTCCTGACCCAGTCGCTGTTGCACTAGCAGCACAAGCTTGTCGTCCAGGCGGCGCTCCAGCGACGTGCGGTCGTCACGAGTGTCTGCGTCTGCACGTGGGGACACACACGCCCTGACCATTATAACATTAACCGTTACTACGTCTTAGGGGAATAAAAACTACAGGAAAGGTCAGAAAACATAATAAAAAAGTAGTGAATTACGTTTTGTATTATTAATTTTCTGCCCATCATACCAACTTACATTGCAAACATTTGTGCGGACAGGCCCACGCACGGTGAGTATTGGTTCTTAAATCATACGATGTGCACGGCTCCTTTTCATAGAATACACTGATGCACATTTAGGCATCGTTAACATTGGTGATAATCGCATACAAAAAAACCCCGAAAATAATCATTAGGTTTTCATCACACATAGAAACGGATTTCAAAAGTTCAACCTTGTAGATGCGTGCACCAAGAGGCTGAAAAAAATAACGTGATGCTTAGCGACTTGAAGGAAAGAAGGGGGTAGGGGTGTTCAGTGAAATTGAGATGAAAGCTCAGAATCGGACAGGGCAGGGGGAGTTGGAGCCACTGAGGGGAGGACTACCGGTGACTCGGGATGCGGGCTGGAACTTCTTGAACCTCTGCTCGTACGCGTCCTCCTTATCTTCGGCCGTCACGATGCCGGGCCGATCCTCATCGTCGTCCGAGTCCAACTCCTCGTTAGCCTGGCGCATCTGAATCCTCGCCGCATCCTCCACCAGCTGGATCTCGTGGTCGGAGAGCGCGCTTCTCTCCAGCTCGATCTGCTGCACCAGCTCCCCGAACAGTTTCTCATCCGCGCTCAGCTCCTGGGAAAGGCGCGGGTAGCGTTCCACGCACGCGGCCGCGAGCAGCCTCCATTTCGGCGTCCCCGACGGCTCGGGACTCTGCGGCCTAGCGCCTCCCCGCCGTGAAATGCCACTCTTTCCCGCGGAGCCGCGAGGCGAGGCCGGTCCCGATAGCCGAGCCCCACCGTGCACGGCGGCATCCGCCGCGTAGGGACGCGACAGCGGCGGCAACAGCAGCCGGGACGAGGCGAGAGCTAGGCTCGGCCTCTGAGTTCGAGGCCACAGGGACGCGTAGCCCGCAGCGGACGATGACAGCCGCCGGGCCAGTGTGGTCAAGGGCGCCGCCATTGCTTGTGGCGCCTGAGCACGCTGTTGCGGGGCGGCGTTGACGATGCTAGTGACGCAGTGAGGGCCACGTGCAACACGGGCGCCATCTTACCTAGGGGAGTGGTCATACGGGATTGGGGCGGCATCGGTTGCGTTGGGTGCGGGAATCTCCCCCCACGTAAGATGGCAGCCGCGGGCGTCTCGGAATGTTGCGCAACGCTGGAGGAATCCGATGAGCTACAAAGCTCTTGTGATTATCACCCACGTCCATTTTCTCCATAATCTTGGGGGGGGGGGGGTTGTTTTGGGTTAGATCGCGTAAATATAAATGTGTAGATAAACCCCGTCGCCAACCGACAGCCAATTATTATGGTTGGTCACGTAAACAGAACGTGCCAATTCGTTACAAGTACAGCACACCGGTTGTGTGTTGGAGAGCAAAATCCACATTTACAATCTGAGTACGACGTTTCGCCAGGAATTACAACCGGCATCATCAGGCAGACAGCCAGATTTGTGCATTTTCTCGTCGTGACGAGCCGAGAGCACACCACAGTTCGAGATTTGCAGCAGCGAGAGGTTACTTCTGCGAGATAATTCGTCTGTAATTATTTACAATGTGGATTAATGGCGCCGTACAAATGAATTAGTTGTTGGCGACGCTGCTGAGCTGCTGCGTTGGCAGTGGTGCACAAACAAAGCGACTTTACACATTCGTCAATCACCCTTTGTGGTCTTATGGCCCGTATAGGACAACCACCGGAGTCTGCGGGGCCGTCCATAAATGACGTCACGCGATTTTGGACGATTTTTTGACCCCCCCCACCAAGTCACACGGCGTCACAAAAAGTCAGACCCCCCCCCTAAAAATGACGTCACAAAGCTCTGCCCCCCTCCCCCCCCAAAAAATGAACATGCTTCAAATCGCTTTAAACTATTGTCATTGTAGTGCGTATTTAATGTGGCGCTGCACTCTGATGTTGTAGGAGAAAACATTTATTTAAAAAGTCTATTTAGTTAAGTAGAACGTATTATTGGTTCTTTCGCTAAAGTCACGTAGAAGGGAAACAATAAAATAATAAAAATCTAAAACAATTAAATTTTATTGTTTTATATTTGACTTTACTGAAAGAACCAAGAACATAGGCCTGTTAAAAAAAACTCGTCTCCTAGCTAGTTGTTCTTTCTCGGTGTCCTGAAGACGCTGGATTCCTCTCTCGGTCCTCCAGTTTCTCCCTTCCGCATTTGGAATCAACGCGTGTTTTAGAGCATTTGACTGCTATCAATTTTTCAGATTATGATATAAGGCGCTTCGTTGAGCTCTCATTTGTGGCCCAGGTCACTTCTGAAAATGTACTCAGTGGGCCTTATCTGGTAAAATAAAAAAGTTTAGTTTCGGGGTTAAATTTTGATTTAAAGCTTTCGTGACTGCAGTAATTCATATTGAATTACGTTGAAGGGAAACAATAATAAAATATATATTTTATTGTTTCCTTTCAACGTGACTTTACCGAAAGAGCTAAGAATATTTCGGGGTTAAGTTTAAGAAACTTGCACCGTTTTTTATCCGACGCGGGAGATGGAATCGAACCGGCAAGCCCTCTTGGTTTGCAAGTCCCAGCGGCTCTGCTCACCGTTGCAACCACTTGGGCAGGATCCATCTGCGTTCATTTTCCTACTCTGCAAAAAGCTGTTCCGTGTTTGCTTTTTTTCACGGACCATTTATTTCCAATTACATTTCATGTCCGTCGCTTAATAGAGCCAGAGATCGTCGAGATAAATTATTTGTTTTGCAAGGAAGCCCTAAGTTGTTTGTAATTATATATATAGACGGTTGCTATTATCGCAGTTGCATTGTTATGAAATGTAGTTTAGCTAAGGCCAGTTTTCATATTTGAGTAAAAACCATAATTTGCTGTGGTGGGTGACTGCGGATAATAAAATAAACAGGTCCCTGCAGGGTGGGCTGGTAGGAACATTGGAATTTTGCGCAATTTTATGACATTGTTACTTCCAAATGTTGGGTGCAATAAGACATATCAAGTCTCTGCGCTGTCTATTGCTGATTTTACACCCAACAGCACGAGATTTCACTTTGTTAAAGTATTGAAAGGGGACGGACGGACGGACACATTAATCTATTGCAGGCTGGTACACTCAGTTTACAACTTCGTTCCTACCAGTAAAAAATACTTCTGTTCATCTGTCCAGAATAAAATTAAATGACAATTTAGTCCATTATCCTGATTGGCCTTTAAAGGTAATGTTTCCCAGTCGTATGTGTTTGAGCAGACAAACTCTGAGGCTGGTTTTGACCTGTGGCTCATCAGCCGAGTCAGGCTTGTTGAACATGCTTACTGGGTTGTCACTGTAAAGAGGGGATGATGCTTGCCACAATAACATTTGACACGATGAGTTATGATACCATATTGATGCACGCTCTGTGTTGACAGAGGTGCCACCATTCAGACGAAGTGTTCAGCAGTTTTTTTCTTGCTGTGGTTGTCCCACCTGATGACGATTGCTTGTGTTGCGATCGAAACGTCGTGATGTATTATTTTTCTACCTACGTGACTTTACCGAAAGAACCAAGAATATGAATCCCTGCAGTCACGAAAGCTTTAAATCAAAATGTAAGTAGAACGTGTTGTCTATATTTATTTAAAGTTGCGCATTTTGATGTGACGTCACATTTCTCAACCCCCCCCCCCCTAGGTGCGTGACGTCATTTACGGACGGCCCCTGCACTCCCTTCAACGGAAAACAGCAAAACGACACCGACTCTTCTACTGAAGCCCTCTCTCGCCCTGGTTTAACAGACCTCGACATTGGCATCGAGCTCCTGGACACGCTGCTGTAGACATCATGCAACAAAATTGCAACGCTGCCTTCAAAGCACAAACGTTAGGCAAATGGCCCGTCTGCATAGCAGATGAGTAATAAGGGCCATTGTCCAAAACGTCGACTTTTATGTTTCCTTTGAATGTGTTATTGGCGAATGTGTTGTTGTGCTTTTGTTTTCTCCATAAGAGGCGGCTTTCCCATACACCGCCATTCGCCGCGAAGTGGCGCGGACGTCACCACGGCGCTTGTGCCAGGCTAGGTGCACGTTAAGGCCACGTGAAAGTGTTGAACGCCCATGTGGTTCAATGAGATAACTGGCCGATGCACCACCTGTGCCCCCCCCCCCCCCCAACTCTGCCAACTTTCTGCGTTTTATCCGCCCGACTCTCCGCTCGTTGTTGTGAGTGTGGCTCCTCGGCCCTCCGTTGTTGCTGGAGGGCGCCTGCCCATTAACACCAATATTCGCAACTAAGTGACGGAGACGTCACCACGGCTCCTGTGCCAGGCCAGGTGCACTTTGAGGACACGTGAAGTGTCGAAGGCTCGCTGCTGACAGGAAGGAGGTCTCGGGACAGACCCAGCAGGTGCCATGGGTTGGCTGACTGAGATGACTGAGATGACTGGTAAATGCACCCCACTCTGCCAACTTGCTGGATTTTATCCACCCCAGCTCTCCACTCGTTGTTGTGAGCGTCGCTCCTCCGTCCTTCGTTGTCGCTGGTAGGCCTCGGCAAGGTAAAACAACGAGCCTACCTTTACCCTACCTTTTACCTTACCACAATACAATCACTCTACCCTACCTTTTACCCTTCAGCAGTTAAGGTTAAAGGTTAAAAGCAACGAGCCTACCTTTACCCTACCTTTTACCTTACCACAATACAATCACTCTACCCTACCTTTACCTTACCACAATACAATCACTCTACCTACCTTTTACCCTTCAGCAGGTAAGGTAAAAGGTTAAAAACAACGAGTCTACTTTTACCCTACCTTTTACCTTACCACAATACAATCACTCTACCCTACCTTCTACCCTTCAGCAGGTAAGGTAAAAGGTTAAAAGCAATGAGCCTACCTCTACCCTACCTTTTACCCTTACCCCATACAAATTACCCGATTACAGGGTAATTACTGGGGTACTAATACACATGAAAAAGGTTTATAACAGGTAAATGCTAGGTAGAGCGCTTTATTCATCTATAGAATACGCTCAATTATTCCAATTTTACACGCACGTTGTTGTCGTTGTATCCTCAAATCTTGCAACTCAATTTTAACCCACTTCCCAATGTGGTATCGACTGCAAACTTGGTATACTTGTGTCATACTGATGACAATACTATATTCTATCATTAAAAATAAAATAAATTTTTAAACATTATTTTTTATGTTATGTTTCGGCTTGGGTCAAATTGTCCACAGTCAATTGACGTTGGCTGTGATTGGCCACGGTCCCTTACGTTATGGCAAGCTTCGGGGTCACTTTCTGGAGTCGTGGAGTTCTGTCATTACTAGTAGGGTACATTTTCTTGGTTCTTTTGGTAAAGTCACGTAGAAGGGAAACAATAAAATAAAAAAAATATAAGTCACGTAGAAGGGAAACAATAAAAAAGCAACGAGCCTACCTTTAATAAAAATAATAATTATTTTATTGTTTCCCTTCTACGTGACTTTACCGAAAGAACCGAGAATATGAATCCCTGCAGTCACGAAAGCTTTAAATCAAAATTTATTAGGGTACATTTCATAAAAGCGTGTTTTTAAAAAAAGTTTTGTTTAAAATATTACTTATTAAACGGAGGCCACGGACTGCGCCACGGAGATTTTAGCGGTAAACAATGCACCGTATTTACCGGGTTAATACTTCGCGCTACATTTCGATTTAAAGCTTTCGTAACTGCAATGATTCATCTTCTTTGGTTCTTTCGGTAAAGTCACTTAAAATGAGAATAAAATAATAAAATAACACAATAAAATTCTCAAGCTCTGTCGTCCCGACAGGTCTGTTCCTTTCACCTGAAGACGGCCGCTTGCGTTGTGGCCGAAACGTCGTGAGAATTTTGTTGTGTTATTTTATTCTTTTATTCTCATTCTACGTGACTTTACCGAAAGAACCAAAGAAGGCTTCGCGCTGCCTTTACCCTACCGGGTAATTCTTCTGAGCTACCTTTACCCTACCCTTTACCTTACCCCTTGGCATGTCGACACCTTTACCCTTTTACCTTTACCCTTTTACCTTTACCCTTTTACCTTTACCCTTTTACCTTTACCCTTTTACCCGGTAAAAAAAGGCAAATTACCTTACCGAGGCCTCGTCGCTAGAGGGCGACTGCCCATAAACAGAGCCCTGAAAAACCGACGGCACTCGAGACGAGTCGACTATTGGTGTTTGGGGGGGGGGGTGTTTAAAAAAATTCAAGTCTAATAGTAAACAAATAATACAGTGAATCTAAGTGTGACGTTGTACTCTGCGAAACTATAATATATTTATGCAAACACTTCTATTATATAAGCAAATCAAATACAAACTTATCGTTAACTACTTCACAAAAGTTATATATATATTTTTTAAATTCCTATCTGACTTGGTACATTCCTCGCCGGTGGGGGGTGTGGGTCACAGAAACGTGTGACACCGAACAGCGTGCAACTCCCCCCCCAAAACCATTCACATTACCAAGCAAACAAACAATCCTAAGCCGGTAACAGCGGCGCTATCTCGCCGAATAAACAACGCCGACATGTTCACGCTGAGGAACTCCCTGCTCTGCTGCCGTCAATTGACGCGCGCATGGCGCCTGCCCGCGCCCTTGACCCGGTAGGTGCCGTGTTTCCTAGCTGCCCTACCGGCAAGCCTAAGCTAGGCCGCCCGCAGAGTTGGGCCGTGGCCTTCTCGGCGGTTGGGGTTCGCCCCGAGTCCTCGGTGTTTTAAGTGTTTGTGAATATATCGAATTAAACGCCGCCGCCCGCCCCCAAGTCACGAGGTACCGTCGCGGAGATGGAGCGCTGAAATCAGATCGCAAGTGCGAGGCGAATTATTACACCGTGCAGGCTTCGCGAGAGGCTGGCGGCGGCTCGTTGGGAGGCTTGCATCCAGCAGTGGATTGACCACGGCCGCTGACGATGACCGACTGTGGCTGGTTGGATCTTTGCCCAGGTGCCCCGCAGTGGCTGGAAGTATCCACACGAGTGGACGCGCGGAGGATTCGCAGGCGGCGGAGAGCGCAACCTCTGAATACAGGTGAGGAGTTTGTGTCAAGGCGCTCAGTCGCCTCCCGGATCGCTCTTCTATCGCTACTGCCGTGGTGACCCTTCCCGTAAACGTCACTCCTAGCGTATATATTCTCTGAACAAACTCTGAGACGTGCAACCGCATATAGAACACAGTCGCCTGAATTTGAAATCCTGATGTCCAATTTGGGGTGTATTTGATATAATTCAACGTGAAAGCAGTCGGGCCCGGGTCAATGGTTCAGTGCTCGCCGATTCACCCCAGTAACTCGCTCGCTCATCGGCGGTCAATCGCCTCCTCGTCGCTATTCTGTGGTTACTGTTTCACGTAAACGTCACTCATTGATTTCGCAAATCATGTTGAAGGCATGGGTGAGACTATCTGACCTCATCAAGTTATGTGTTCAACTAAAATACCCGTGTGAGTGTGAATATAACTCGCCAATTACCAGTTGAATGGGCAAGTTGTGGCACAGTGGTTCGCACATTGCCCTTTGAGCATGGTCACCCGAGTTCGATTCCTGGCCACGGACAACATCACTGGCGGGTGATGTCTTAACAATTCCCCTGGCATCCACTCCCCTCATCATCACCACCTCCTCCTAATGACCAGCATATTGACGCATTGACAAAGGAGGCAGGGACCACGTCCAGCAGTTGGCTGGCAGAAAGGCTGTGTATAGGTCCACTTAAAAATGACACTTTGCTGTTGTGTTGTTCGGATGCTCGTGCCTTGCACTCCGGCAGCATCTTTGCACCGTTGCCCGATCAGGAAGTGCAGCCGACGTGGGCAGGGAAGAAGTACAGCGACCTCCACATCGCGCACGTCAAGGCCACGCACAACAAGTGAGACGCGCGTCCGGCGGCGGCGGTGGTGGTGGTGGAGCCTTCGCCGCTCGCCTTACAGAGACAACGCAGACCCTCCTGGGCGTGCGTTTCACGTTTATTTAGTTTAGCCAGTCGAGAACTCGAGAAAACAATGGTAATATTGACTTAAAGCTCTCGCGACTGCATGCGTTCATATTCTTTGGGTCTTTCGGTAAAGCCACGTAGATAGAAAAAAAGAATACAAATATCACGACGTTTCGATCTTATTTTTCAAGTGACCTCGAGTGTGGCGTACGTGTATGATGCATGTGATGTGTTTCAAGTTAGTTTTAACCAGGTGAGAACTTCAAGAGACCAATATATATTCTTAGCTCTTTCGGTAAAGTCACGTTGAAGGGAAACAATAAAATAATAATATATATAAAACAATAAAATTCTCACGACGTTTCGACCATAACCGTTTGTGTTATGGTCGAAACGTCGTGAGAATTTTGTTTTATATATATTTTATTATTTGATTGTTTCTCTTCAACGTGCCTTTAACGAAAGAGCTAAGAATATGAATATAAAAATTTGAGACCAAGATAGTCTCATATGCAAGACTGACCTGTGGCATTAATCTTTCAGTAGGTACCATTGATTGTTATGTATTATCCCAATAGAGTAATTTGTCAAATTTGTGTGCTGCATCATGTGTGTGTGGGTATATGTGCAGTAGGTGGCACAATCCACTTCAAACTCAGCTACTCGGGTTTGATTCCCGAACACAGCTTAACATTGCTGATCTTATCAAAACCGGTCCCTGGGGCAACTCGGCCTTAAGTAAATCGCTGTTGTGGTGTGTGATCAGCACACACATACAGATCATGGAGAGCAGTGGCGTGTCTCTGGTGAGGACGTCGTGCGGTACAGAGGGCTTCAAGAACTGCAAGAAAGGGACGACTATTGCGGCACAGACCGCTGCCATCGCCGCCGCCAACGTAAGGGCAACCGTGCCCACCGGCCCCGGGTTGCACAACGATTCAGAGACGGCTGGGTGGCTCGTGATGGCCATTTCGGTGACACTAAGCTGGCACCGCAGAGATGGCGAGTTCAACAGTTGGAAGTTCGTCGGTGGGGATAGCACTGCCAAGTTGGCACTGCCGAGATGCTGGGGTTTAAATCGAGTTCTCCAGTGTAGCGAGTCGATGGTTTCAACTTGCTCTCACCAGTGCACAAAATACCAGCGTTTTTTACGACTGTAAATTTTGGCTTGCACGTGATTTGTTACTAAATTCCAGCTCCACAATTTAAAAAGCAAGTTTGAATGTGATGTGACAGTGTCATAGCAGAGAGTGTGGAAAGGTGAAGGTTGCGGAAGGATTATTCATCTCATGTATTGGCACTGGTAGCACGATTGGAATAAATTGTGGCCTGGCCTGGTGGACGCCCGCCATTACTGGCAGACTTTTGCCGGGTTTTTGAGGAACTCTGCTCGTCTTGTTTTCCCCTGCGCAGAAGGTGATGAGGAAGGGCGTGGGCTTCGTGCGAGTGGTGGTGAAAGGCCTGGGACCCGGGCGTCAGGTGAGGGACACTTAACGCCACTCCTTACGGACAATACCAATAAATAATCCACCAATGGATAGAGACCTTTTCCCCCCATGCCATGTCAGTCTTGAGGGTTTCTTTTGTTGGTTTTAATCATACTTGGCCACGCTGGTCAGTGCAAGTTGCCGACGGTGGGGGGGGAAGGCGGGGAATTAGGGGCAGCAATGATTCCGGTTTCACTTGCCCACTGATGTTAGCCATTGCCGATAATCTAACTCTGGTTACTGGGTTCGGAGTGCTACCAGCTTGCCACTGCTCCATCTCATGGAAAATAACACTACAGGCAGAAATAACACCTCCTGCAGCTGCTGTTTCCACACCGCAGCTGCTGCCGTGATCCTTACCCGTGCCTCAACTCCTGACTCAACTGTTACAACAACCCTCTCTCCTCGGGCAACCTAGTTGATCCAAACAATGCATGAAAGGTTTTTTTTTTATATAAAAATTCACTCGGTTGTCTTTTGCTGCAGGCGGCGATCAAGGGTCTGACGATGGGAGGTCTGGAAGTGGTCTCCATCACCGACACCACCCCCATCCCCCATAATGGGTGTCGTCCACGCAAAGCCAGGCGCCTCTGAGGCTGGCGGCCGCCACCACCACCACCACCTCTCTGCTTAGCCACCCCTGCCGTACCCCACCGCCGCTTGCGAAGACTTTTGTTAGGATGTGCGATGTTCCCGTTGTGCTCTAGCACGAGTTGTCTCGTCACAAGGTGAAGAAGTGAATCGGCCTGGGATTGTCACGGCCGTCAGAGATTTCAAGGCCACAGAAGATGTCACCGCGGGGTTCGGCAATAACCGTCGCTCACGCACATACAACACCACACACGGACTCTTCACGCTCTGTAAAGAACGTTTACCACTTGAAAGTAAAATAAATTTATTATAAGAGATGGAATATCCCAAATGGAATAAAAACCCAAATGTTGTACGAGTGTTTCATGTTTTTAATTGCTTATGACGAAAATCACCTGCAAAGCTTCCAATCTCGTCGTATCTCTGATACTAAGCAGAGCTGAGCCTGCATAATGCTTAGATTGACTACCCTGCATAAAAAAGGGTGTTACATACGCTGCTGCACGCCTATGCTGTCAGCAGGAGGCAATGATGCAATATCCATTGTAGTGATAATGGCTGTACACGGCATTGTATTGTGCAGATAACTCCCCGCTTTGTAAGTGAAAGGCTGCTTAATTGTGGTCTAAAAGATACAAAACTCATTAACTCCCCATGTTCTCGCTAAAACCGAGGCCATGTTTTTAGTCCATTGTGGCTGGTGTCACGAAATCTTCCCAAATCTGCACGCAATCACGCTAAGGCAATGGAAACCTCGATCCCGTCAAAAATGGAGTTTAAAATGTTAAAGTTTTACATTGACACCGTAGGCACACTGCTTGTACAAATGAATGTTTGACGGAACAAAGCAATAATGCACCCACCAAAGCCACACATGGTACCCTCTGTATACACACCCACGTTATATTTTTAAGAAAAAATAAAAATTGAAATAATGAATACCTGCACTTACCCCCATTTTCATGTTCACACTGCGAGTCCAATAAGAATTTATTAGAAAAAATAAAACACCGCTCGGATTTGCGGCGTCGATTCCATTTTGATGACTGTGCGTAACTCTGCGATTCGTACAGAGTAAGTGACGGCTGCCAAGACCATCACCCTGTAGCGGGAATGATACGTCACGACCCTCTCAGGTGATGGAACAATAAGGGTGAGGCCTTGTCGATGAACCAGAGACGGTGGTGACATATCCTACTTGATGCCCGGCCAGATGTCGATTCCAACAGGAATTGACTTTACAACATCCGCTTCCACAGTTTTTTCCATTCGCTTTTATCAGTTCTTTTTTTTTTAACTGCTCCGACATTGTTGCCTGACAAAGGTCCAACCTTGCTGATGGACCAATTCCACCAGCAGCTTGACACTTCTCTTGAGCTTCTGCGAGACACTTTTGGGCGACGATCAAACCCAATCCTTGAACGTTGAACAATTTCGCGTTTTCAGCTTCCCTTGAAATGTTTCCAGTTTTTGTTCAATTTTATTTTTGATTACCTCCCGGCTCCGGCGCTAGTGCCCGGCCGCGCTGGCGCAGCCCCCGCCGCCACCAGCTCCTTGGTGCACACGTGCCGCATGTGGAAGTTGACGACGTACTCGGCGTTGGTGCGCTGCACGGAGATGGCGAAGGGCTCGGACGGGTGGAAGGTGAACGCCACGAGGCGGCGCGCCGACGGAGGGACGGGGCGCCCCAGCATCCCCGCCTGGATCTTGAACTTGAGCAGGCCGGAGTCGCGAGCGTAAAACCTGGGACGAAAGACAAAACGATAAAAAAGCCCATCGTGGGATTCCCCGTAAGGCTCCCACCATTACCCAGCCGAGTTGATCCAGCGTCTAGAAGTCGCGGATGCAGATCGGCACTGAAGCGTGACCCCGGGGACACGAAGCTCCTCACCGTATCGGGTGGTCTCCGCAGGCCTTGGGCCGCTCCATGACCGAGACCCACTTGTCGTCGTAGCTGAAGAGCGACAGGTCGAGGTACGGGCTGCTGCTGTAGGACTGCGCACTGATGGGCAGTTGAGCCAGCAGCCGCTTCACCGCCTCCGTGTTGCCGCCGTACTTGGCGTTGATGATCGTGTGCTTGAACCTGCCGCACGAGACGCGAGAGTCGCGTGACGTCGCCGGGTCGTCGAGGCAGGAGCCTCCCGAGAGGGGCGATGAGACTCGGCAAATGAGCATGTGGAGCGATTGCTTGTGGGCGAATTTGTTCGAAGGCACATTAATTTGTGGGGCGTGTTCAAGCGTTTCAGAATCGCATTCATGTGGTGTTATGGTTTGTACTGTAACGTTCTTCTCATCTTATCTTAACGAAATTGACGGTACAACATATGAATGTAATGGTGGAGATGAGGTGAATGAAATAGATGAAGTGCTTGATGTTCTAAAAGATGGAGGTCATGAGAATTAGGCGTCGCTGTGTGTTGAAATGCCCTGCCTCATGGGTTTGGCCTCAGTCACAATGACGAATTAAAACTAGTTTAATTATAAACTTAATGTTTCCTCACGTTTCCCAATGCTATCTCAATTGTGCGATTGGTGAACATCGCAAGATGAAGAATCCATTTGGATCTCTCGCAGAGGAGCAGCAACCCTTCGTGTTATAGAATGGCCCGCGGAAGCGGATACCATAGAGCTACCTCTGAGATCCTATCAAGGGACCACATTCTAGGGGGTGGCACTTTCCCACCCCTCCTGCCCATGAAAATAACGTTTGTCACATGATAATCAAACCAATATATTTGTCAGAGCTGGAATTCAGCCAAATTAAGTGCAAAACCCATTTGAAAGTGATGACTATTTTTTTTTCATGCAGTCATGGTGACCGGGCTGAGACCATCAACTCGCTACACTTGAGAACCTTATTTAATCTCATGCAGCTAAAACCTCGAATCAAACCCAGACCTCAGCGGTGCCAGCTCTTCGGCTCTGACTTCTGACCCACCTGGGCTAGACTTAACGATATTTTACAAACAGGACAATGTGATTATCGTGGACCTTATATTGTAGGATACATCACTGCTTCGCGCAACCTACATGCGTGCAGTGTTATTTAGTTCGCATGTTTCAATTTAGTTAAGATTCTGGTTTCTGACAACCTGTGGAATTCACGTTGGGTCACAACAGTGTGGAACTTCACCTCGTCTACTTGACTAAGGCAGGCACACACCGAGTCGAACAGTCTTCATTATCAAAAGTTTGGCGTGAACGGCATGCAATCTTTCCCAAGCCAATATTATTGAGCCAGCCGATCAATTATATACTATTGGCTAGCCAGTCGGTAAAACTCGCGATAAATCGAGACAGCCAATTACCTCTGTCGGTCTTCCTCAGTGCACTGCATTCTTTAACCACGTTGCTAAATCATCTGGGCGTGCGTCTTTATTCCTTTCGAGTCATCGTCGCGCTCCGCTCGTTGTTCACGGTCATCGCTGATGATAAGCCAACGCTGCGAAAGGGCCGTCGCACCTGCGCTGGATCTGCCGCGCGTGGTTGTTGCTGGAGGCGGAGCAGGGGAACTGCGCGGCGTCGCTGTGCAGCGTTGCGTTGCGGAAGAGGTCGCAGAAGTTCTCGAACAAATCCAGGAGCTCCTCGGAGGTGTTCTCGAAGACCGCCAGCACCTCGGTGCTCACCATATTGTACACCACGAAGAACGACGGCTGCTGTCCTCGGCGCGAGGGTGGCGTGTGCGAGAGCGTGTGTGTGTGTGCGCGTGTGAGAGTGTACGGGGAGAGCCAAGTTAGGTTGCCCATCTCGGTGGGCCATGCGTGGGGTGGTAAGCGAAGGGCGGGTGGATAGAGGGCGTAGGTCAGAATGTCAGACTGCGGTCTTTGAAACCCCCTTTCTTGGCACAGCTTGCCCCGAAATAGAACTGTAAACCATAGCCCCACCTCTACACATACCCAGACCTCTTATCCTTCAACTAGCCCCCACACTAACCTGACCCATAACACGAGCTCTAACCCTACCTCTTAACACTCGCACTGGCCCGACCCTGAACCCTAAAGTTAGCCTACCCCGAACCCTCACACTACCTCAAATCCTATGTCTAACCCTAACACTTAACGCTAACCCTCAACAAATCCCTAACCCCCTAACCCACAGCCCTGGCCACACAACCTCTCAACACCCGGCGCCCACCCGACCTCTAGCTCCAACCCGTCCTTTGACCCCCCCACGCCCGTCCCCGGCTCCGTACCTGCGAGGGGTCGGTGACCTTGAGCGTGACGACGTCCTCCCCGGCGTACTTCACCAGCAGGTGGCTCTCGTCCAGCAGCTGCATCTTCCACATGCGCAGTGCGCGCAGCTGGTCGAAGCGCTGGAAGAAGCGGCGCCGCGCCGTCGCGTCGCCCTCCCTCTCGGCGCGCCGCCACAGGTGCACGAGCAGACGGTGCTTCAGCGAGTTGATGGTGGGCTCGCAGAACGCGCGCAGGCCGCCCACTAAGGGGAGGGGGGCGGCGGTGGGTGGAGGGGGTTGGGGGCAACGGCACAGGCGCCAGCGTGGATTTAATCGGACCGATGGTTTTAGGGTCAAGGGTCGTCGGGTTCGTGCGTTGTGCGAGCATCGGGTTTTGCACGAAGCCGTTTGAGAATCACGCGCTCACGTGGGGCGACTCGTAGGATGACGGCGGAAAACGAAGGAGGCAGAACGAATGAGATGGCGCAGACCAGGCGAACGGTAGAGACAGGACAGGGCAGACAACGGACAATAGAGGTGAAATAAACGTAACGAGGCAGGACGGTCGACTAACAGCACAGACGGAACACACGGTGCAAATTATATTTCGATTTAAAGCTTTCGTGACTGCAGGGATTCATATTCTTGGTTCTTTCGGTAAAGTCACGTAGAAGGGAAATAATATTTTTTCTTGCTGTGGTCTTCACACCTGATGATGATTGCTTGTGTTGCAATCGAAACGTCGTGATAATTTTTGTTGTTTTATTTCTATTATTTTATTATTTCCCTTCTACGTGACTTTACCGAAAGAACCAAGAATAGGTGCAAATTATGCTTTGAGAAACAGATGATACGATCGACTATCGTGGATCTTATATCGTACAATGTGTCGTAGTGTCGCCGAAAAGACAGACCGGCAGAGACGCTGATATAGACGGAGAGGCCTCGAGGCGTACAGGCAGGCAGAGATACAGACAGACAGAAAGGCAACCGGAGAGACACGATTATCGTGGGTCTGATATCGTAGGATAAGCCGTAGGATAAGCCGTAGTATCGTCACCGCGAGCTCACCGCCTGCGCCGTTTGCGTTGCCGCTACCCCCCGGGTGGGTGCACGGATACACAGCGCCCAGGGTCAAGAGGTCATCCTCGTAGCAGAAGCGGCCGATGGAGCGGACGTCGATGAACGTTCCCTCGCTCGTCACCTGAGCACAGGGGGCGGGGGCGGAAAAAGAGATGGGGGATGTCTGGAGTTATACAGAGATAGAGATAGGTGGGTACTGATACAGATACAAGGGCAGAGGTATAAATAGACAATCACAGATACAGATAGACTAAAGGAAGAGATAGAGAAACAAGCATTGATTCAGACAGCAGACAAGCAGAGATTTTTGTTCATTTTACGCGTGTTTGCCCAGGAAAATCTCACCGAGCCTCAAGACTCTTTGTCAGGAAGTTCCTGCCAAGCTTTCGCAGTGGGCGGGGGGAGGTGATGTTAACGGTTGAGAGATAATATAAGACACACACACAAGGAAGAGATCAAAACAGACAGGAGCAGAGATACAGACAGGCAGAAAGAGCAACTTGATGACCGTGCGAGCGAGTGAGCGACCAGGCAAGGTTGATGAGTGGGGGTTGACCAGGTGAACGAGTAAGCGAGCGAGCGAGCAGGTGAGTGAACGAGTGATCGATCCAAGGAGCAAGTGGGCGAGCAAGCGACCAGGCAGGATGACGAGTAGGTGTTGACCAGGTGAATGAGTAAGCGAGCAGGTGAACGGGACGGGTGGGCGGCAACGCTGCGTGGCACCTGGAAGACGTGAATGGTCTGCTGCTGCACGGAGAGCACGGCGAGGATGTTGCGGTAGAGGTAGAGGCCCTGGTTGTGCGACAGGAAGATCTTGTCACACTTGAAGTGGCGCGAGTCGCAGAGGCGGCCCGTGTGCAGGTCCACGATGTGCAGCGAGTAATCCTCGAGTGGAGAGCGAGGGTTCGGCGTCACCGACTCGTTGTTGCGATAAACCTAGCGGAGGTGGGGGGGGGGGGGAGGACGTGCGTGGCGAGTGGGCGGGGAGCAAAATAGAAACGATAACAATTACCGCTCCGCTCACCACCCAGCCCACCACCACACTCATCACCTCGCTCACCACCACGCTCACTGCCCTGCTCACCGCCACGCTTACTAACCGTGCTCACCAACAACGCTCACCAACCACGCTCACCACCACCTCTCACCACTTCTCACCACCCTGCTCACTATTCTGCTCATCACCAAGCTCAACACCACGCTCACCACCCCCCGACTCAGCACACCGCCACGTTCACCACCACCTCGCGCGCCGCCGCGTTCACCGCCACGCTCACCAACCACGCTCGCCAACCCAGGACCTGCCAACGTCTCACCTCGTAGAACATGGGCTGCTGATCGTCGGGGTGGTACGCCGCCGAGCCCACCACCACGTGGCGGCAGTCGTCAGTGAAGAGGCTACACTCGCGGTTCAGGTGCTCGCCCGGCGGTGCCGCCGCCGTCACGTGCGCCAGCTCGAAGAAGCGCTCAAACAGGCGGCTGCACACGGCCGCGGCGCGGGGGTCGGGCGCCGGCCCGCCGGGGGAACCGGCGGCGTCGGCGCCGGCGGAAGAGCCGGCGCCGACGCCGTTCACCAGAACGTCTCCGTCAAAGTCCTGCAGGAGGTCCTCGGCCGCCTGTTGCGCAGAAGCCGTTCAAGCGAAATGTCGATGACGGTCGATCCTCGATCATCCCGGGAAACGAGGAGGAAGAAGGAAGAGGTGGCCAGAATGAAACAAAAAACAAGGAGTGCGCACATCATATGTAACAGTTGGATGCTGCTGCTGCTGCTGCTGCAACGGTTGGCGAACGAGAAACTAGAGGTGCCTCTGTCCACCCGGCGGTGTAAATAGGTTCACCCAGTTGGTGGAACGTCAGGTCGCGTGCGCACGGTGGGGGGAACTAAGACCCTCTTCCAAGACATCTGGCCTAGAGGTTATATTTGGCGACTCTTCTACACCAGCCAGACGTCTTGCAAGAGGTGGGGAGTACTCAAGCACGGGGACGTGGCCGGTTGACCTAGAACGTACGGACAAGCCGCCTGTGCACACGGGTAACCGACATCTCCACCGCGCCCGAGCCTCAGTCACCTGGCAGCCCCGGTAGCGGTAGATCTCCAGCGACGTCTGGTCGGCGGAGAAGGCCACAAAGTAGCGCCCGTCGGGGGAGAACTTGCGCAGGAAGCACGGCGGCTTCTCCACGTTCACCACCGTGAAGTTGGGCAGCACGTTCTGGTGGAGGCGGCGCACGCCGTACCACTGGGCGCCCGGCGGGCCCGAGCTCACCCGCCGCCCGTCCAGCCGGTGCACCACGTTCTGGCTGTCGATGCGGCGCGGCCGCAGCGCGTGTTGCTCGCTCATCGCCGCCGCCGTCGCCGCCGCCACGCCGATCTGCCGCTGCCGGCGGAGGGGCGGGCGGAACAACGGGCCCGATGGGTGGACGGAGAGGGGAGCGGAGAGGTGGAGAGGCTGCAGAGGGGGTAGGGGCAGTGTGGTGGAGAAGCAGGAGGCGAGGTGGAGAGGCGAATGGTTAGGTGGAGAGACAAGATTAAGAGGTACGTGGTGATGTGAGCAGACGGGTGAATTGGATGGGCAGGTAGGAGGTGAGCAGTGAGGTGAAAGGTTGCGTGGATTGATGGGCTGAGAAGAAGATGCAGAGGTGAATGGTGAAGTAGTGACGTTGGCAGAGAGGTGAAGTTGGCAAAGGAGGAGAACCAGGCGGGGAGATGGGTGCTGAGGAGCGGTGAATGGAGAGGTGGACAAGTGGAGAGGCGGAGGGGTGAGACGGATGGAGTGGTGGGTGGCGAAGCGGATGGAGAGGTGAGTGTACAGGCAGGCAGACAGGTGGGCGGAGAGCCCAGTAGAACAGTGCCAAACCAGGCTGAGAGGTGCAGAGACGCCGGGGAATTGCGTGGACGGAGGGGACGGGAGGAGGATGGCGGGGTTGTGGTGGTGGCGTCCTCTCGTCCTGGCGCTGTCGTGCAGCCCTGCCGGGCTCACCGCAGCCACAGCCGAGTCGTAACGAGGCTCACCGACTCCTGGAGGTGGGAGGAAGTGTCTATGAGGTAGGACAAGTCGTGCTGGGAAGACAAGCGCCGGTTAACGGGAGCATGGGCGAGTTGGTGCTATGTCATGGCTTGAGGTTATAGGTCCGTGGTATGGGATAGGAAAGTTGCCACAATTATGGCAACTGCCCGATTGACGATGGCCGTGTAGGGTGGAGGAGGGTTTACGACACACGTTAAACTCCCGCGATCTCTCTCTCTCTCCCCTCCAACCCCCACACACACCCCGACCACAAAACATAAAAACCGCAATCATGAATCCACGGTGACACCTATTGTTATACCGTACTACGCTCCCGCGGCCTACTTCGAACCAAACAACAACAACCACCACCAGCAGCAGCAGAACCGGCACGGGGCGTGACGAGCTTACTACTCCCCTCTCTTCATCCAGCAGTGGAGTGACACAATAGAGACGAGGGTGAGGCGGCGTTGGGTGGGCGGGGGGCTGGTGCCTGTCACACGTTGTGGGGCGCGCGTGTGTGTGTGTCTCTCACCATTCAACTCTGCCCCCTCGCCAGCGTCGCCTCTTCACGCGACTCGCAGCCCGCAAGCTGCGCGCTGACGAACCGGTTTACGGGTCGGTGAACGGACCGGTTAATTAACCGGTTAAATAACCGGTTGCAACTCGGACTGCCCACCAACGTACCCCAAACCACCACCAGCCGAACCCACGCGGCAACGGCGTCACGGAGCCGTCAGCTGATCGCGGGCCCCCCCCCGCCCCGCCCCGCCGCCCGCCAGAAATCCCCGCGCCGATTGGGCGGCGCCCGCGCCGAAGACTCGGCGCGCCCATTGGTCCGCGCGTGCTGCTCATCCGCTCCGCCAATGGAATCTCGCGCCGCCGCCGCCCGCGAGTCGAGGAAGGTGGGCGGGGCGGGGCGGGGCGGAAAGAAGGCGGAGTCCGAAAGGGGGCGGTGGCTTGACCCGGAATACGCCGGCGGGAGTAGGAAGAAGAAGCGTGCGCACGCGTGGGGGACCCCTTCCGTGGGCGTCAACCTCGCACGAGTTACAGCCCCTCTTCTTGTACGGGGAAATTGAGTTTTCGGGGGTTGGTTTGTCTATTTGTTTGTGTTTCTGTCCTCGTGAAGGTGACATTGTAGGATGAACGTTGAGATTTATAAGGGGCACAGGGTGACCAATAAGGTTCTGAATTGGTCTGTAATAAGGTAGGGCACTGATACGGAGTTTACGGGTATGTCAGATAGGGATAGTGTTATGGATAGTGCTAGGGATAGCGTACCTGTCAACCCATACGGTTTCGCCCGTATTCTTGTACAGGGAAATTGGGTTTTCAGGTCCATACGGTGTACAGCCGTTTCAATACGGGCAACAAAACATGTTTTTTTGTCTGTTTGTGTTTCTCCCTTGTGATGGGACTTTGTAGGATGAACGTTGAGATTTATCAGAGCACGGGGTGACCAATAAGATTCTGAATTTGTCTGTAATAAGGTAGGCACTGATAAGGGGTTGACAGGTTTGTTAACACCCTTCGGATCGGTTTTACCGGAAGCAGCCGGATAATAGCACGCCGCAGAATCGATGATCAACTGCATTGAGTTTATTTGCAAAGGATTGCGTGAATACAATTGAGGGCATTCGTATTATTGCGTGTATTTGAAATGTCGTGCATCTGTATTAAATGCGTTGTGTTATTATTGTGCCGTTTCCCGCGACCCCGAAGACACGCAGGTGTGATCATCATAATAACAACAGTCCAATCACACGCTTAATGAAAAATTGTAAAGGCGCTGATTAAAACTGTAAAAATGCACTTCCAAAGTCACGTGGCATGTGTTTGCATGAATCAAACCTGCATCAGGATGTGTTGCCACGGCCGCGGAGCAACTGCGCAAGCGCCTCCCCCCCCCCCCCCCCCCATGGCCCCCACACTGAGCACACACCCGCGGCGCTCACGCGGAGTGTCCTGGCGGGGGATCGCCTGGCACAACGGGTTTTCATCCGAAGGGTCCCTCGGAGGAAAGTCACGCGGTTTCCCGGTGCCGGGACATTGGCCGACCCTCGCAGGACAGGTCACATTGCGATGCCCCTAAATTGGCTTAAAATTGTACGGGCGCACAAAGGTTCACCCCGGGCCAGCCGCAATGAGCCGTGCACGACATCAGGGAGGGGGCTGGGGTGAAATATTTGGCGAGCAGAGCTGACCATGAGGTCAGGGGATCGCAGCGCCACGACCTCCCCCAACCCCAGACCGAACACACACGAGCAGAGTTTGTATTCGCCAGCCGGACGCACTTCCAGATTAAACAGGATGAGTCGGAAATGAATGAGTACGGGCGGATAGACAACAGGTAACAGAAGTAACCGTCACAACGCTCCAAGCAAGGGAAGGAAAACGATTGGAAATCACGGGTAGGCACACGATTGGCCACGTGGGATAACGTAACCCTGGATTTTTGAAGTCATGAGGCCATAAAAAGGGGGAGCCTGAAACCGTTCACGGGAGATCTCATCTTCAACCTCTTGTCCACCAAGACTGCCGTCCTGCCTTCTCGAGCCGCTCGCAGCATCCGTGAGACACCAGCGGGTGCCGCTGCGAGGCAGCGATAGGTAAAGTTATCTTTCATCTTCGTCTCTCCGACTCCCCCGGCGTCCGTGCGACGCCGCTCGGTACGCGATAGGGACGTGAGCATTTGGGGACTTGGGTAGCCGTAGGCTAGGCTCTGCTCGTAGAATATTCCCTCCGGGCGGTGCGGGGTTTGCGCCGCGAATAAAAGTTAGTACAGAGCATCGGTGTGGTGTCGGCGATCCCTGCGTGGAGCGGCTGCGTGGGCGGACGCGCGTCGTGGGCGAAGCCGCAGCACGTGTGCCCGTTGAGATCCTCGCTCACAGGTGTGGGCGCCAGTGTGGACTGCGTTGGCGATAGGTGCCCGACGTCGCGCCCCACCTGCCTAGCGAGGGTGGTGGGGTGGACGTCGGCCCCCATAAGAACATCGAAAGGCCGATGTCCCGCATCTCCTTGCTGAACGTGAAATTAAAGACACCAGCCGCAGTGTGTGTGTGTTGAACTTCTTTCGCACCGCACGTAGCCAACCGTGCTCAATCAGAGGTGCAGATTGTGGCCATGCAACCCACACTCTGGACCTTGCAGTAAACCAATTGCGGCATGCGCTCCTTCAGCGGAGGAGTGACAGCGAGCCGACAAGAACCGTCTCTGCTGAAGCCCTCTCGTCGTGGCCAGCAGCAGCAGCAGCAAGCAGACCTCGACATTGGCATCGATGAAAATCATTGATTGCCACCATGACACGCAATAATATCATACATTTAAATTTGTAAACAACGCAGCTATTCTTACAAGCAATCCTTCGCAAGTCCACCGTTAGGACTGGCGAGACATCACAAGAGTTCTTCCCTTCTGATCCATGTCACAGAGGCTCCGTTAGCTAATCGGTCCAATGTCTGGGACATTCCCCGACACTCTACTGCTCGAGAGCACAGCTGTCGGCTCTGGGCAGCAGAGGGCGCGCATGGTACACACGGAGGCAAGAGACGTCGCTCAGTGGTTAGTGCACTGCGCTACGAAACTTAGTTTAATTTTACCAAAGGGGCCGTCCATAAATGACGTCACGCACCTGGGGGGGGGGGAGGGTCATACATTTGCGACGATGTGTGACGAGAGGGGGGGGGTTGAGAAATGTGACGTCACATCAAAATGCGCAACTTTAAATAAATATAGACAACACGTTCTGCTTAATTAAATAGACTTTTTAATACATGTTTTCTCCTACAACATCAGAGTGCAGCGGCACATTAAATACGCACTACAATGACAATAGTTTAAAGCGATTTGAAGCATGTTTTATATTTTGGGGGGGGGGGGAGGGCAGAGCTTTGTGACGTCATATTTGAGGGGGGGGGGGTCTGACTTTTTGTGACGCCATGTGACGAGGGGGCATGGGGATAAAAAAAATCGTCCAAAATCGCGTGACGTCATTTATGGACGGCCCCAAAGCCCACTGAGGTGCACAACTCTTTTTTTTCCCGAAGCGACCCGGCCGCAAATGACAGCACAAACTGTGGCTTATTATGCGGGAAGTGTGTCGCAGACATATACTCTAAACGCAATGTTCATTTTATATGTGTAGGGGAAAAAGGGTCATACATTTAGTACGTATGTGGGGGCTGATGCCCCCCTCCCCCCTTGGACCTCCTCCTCTTCATGCCGGGCTGCCGAGTCGACCTAGGGGAGGCACAGGACCGACTTACAGAATCGTCACTGCCGTTGCCCGTGATCGGCAACCAAACGAGTCGCCAGGTTCATAGCGCAGCGCGCTAATCGCAACACCCACCGCTCCCCACTGTGAATGAAGACGCGCAGATACACACACACACGCGTACATCTCGGTGGTCAACTCGTGTGCAATTGCTTGGAGGGGGCTCGCGAGGACTGGAGTCGAGAAACACAAGGGCCCGTGGTAGCAAGGCGTTCGCCGCTAGCTTGTAGAGGCCCGTGGTTCGAATCCAGCGGCCGCACTGGTTAATAGCGGGACGTGTAATTAACCAGCGATCCTGCTTCACAGCACGCGGTTAAATATCCCGTGACGTCAATGGGAAAAGTTGTAGGTCCACGTGTGCCTGCGTCGTCAAACTTTTCCTAAAATTTTTGATAGATATTACTGCACTGGCAAACTAATTTGGTAAAAACCGTTGCCCCGCTAACGACAGACTTGACTTGTCCGCGAATATAAAAATCACGTGTTTATTGTTAAACACGACAACAGAAAGCCCTTGACAATGACAACATACAAGTGGAAATGCATCGTTAAACCCGCCACCACCCGACACAGCCTATTAGTAAGGGGCCGTCCATAAATGACGTCACGCGATTTTGGACGATTTTTGACCCCCCCCTCCCTTCGTCACACGGCGTCACAAAGTCAGACCGCCCCCCCTAAAATGACGCCACAAAGCTCTGCCGCCCCCCCCCCCACAAAACCATATTTCTATTTTGAAAATAAAACATGCTTCAAATCGTTATAAACTATTGTCATTGTAGTACGTAATGTGGCGCTGCACTCTGATGTTGTAGGAGAAAACATTTAATAAGTCTATTTAATTAAGTAGAACGTGTTGTCTGTATTTAAAATTGCGCATTTGATGTGACGTCACATTTCTCAACCCCTCCCCTCGTCACACATCGTCAAATGTCTGACCCCCCCCACCCCCCCAGGTGCGTGACGTAATTTATGGACGGCCCCTAAGTTTTGTCACGTAAACAGAACGTGCCAATTCTTTACCTAGTTCAGCACACCGGATGTGTTGGAGAGTAAATCAACAAAATTTTCAATTAGCACCCAAGACACCGGCGTGCTGTACTAGTAACGAATTGGCACGTTTTATTTACGTGACTAACCTTACTAATTGGCTGTGTCGGGTGGTGGTAGGTTTAACGACACCACATTTATATTTACGGAAACAAGTAAAAAAAGCTCGTGCGGTCGGGCTCATCTGTTCGTCGCAGCAGACACTTTCACGATGTAGTCTCAAACGTTTATTGCGATCCACAAAGCAAGCACACTACACTCGGCAACGCATCAGGCAAATCAACTCCAGCACAGCAAAGTCGCCACTAAAACATTACGAGGCACACGCGGCTAGCACGAACACGGCCCCATTACACTTGGGTTGCCCGTCGGGATTCATATTTGTCAGACTATTGAATTTGCCGCAATTTCATAATTCATTTAAATACTTTTCGTGTTTTCATATTTTAATTTAATCAATCTGAAATTACGGATTTTTGTTGTTCCAGAGTAATACTTTTTTTATGACTGTCATTGCTTATGCACTCTATTTGCACATTTTTTTTGTAAAATAATTGAATTTGAATGTTTAATAATAATTTTAACGTGAAAATTTTAAAAGCATGTCGTGCCGCGTGCCGTCAAAGGGACGTCACGTGGAGATGGGAGCGACGTCATTCCCCGACACCACATTTCCAAGATTTTCCAAAATATTTGTTTTGAAAAAACCCGATTTTTTTTGTTCATATCTTGGACAATATATTTTTTTATTTCACTGCGTATCAACCTGCAAATCTAGAAAGCAACCATGTACCCTTCAGTGAACACTGAAAAACAAACCCTAGCCCAGTATAGAAGTAGAAAAATGTACAAAATTGGACGGCATCACTCAGTAGTAGCTTCCGGCCATCGCTGGCAAAGGCGCGGACGTAAAGGGCAGTCAAAAATCAGAGTTGTTTACAGCCCAAATAAATCACGGGGAGTGGGGGAGGGGCAACTCATCCGTTTTACATACCTAAAGCAGATAAAGAAATCCCACCTGGCAGCGAGGAGGCATACGTACCACACATTCACCTGGTGGACGTTCCCGCAAAGTGGTTCAACGCTTTACCCACGACCCCCGCGCAGGAGGGAACGGTTGGCTGGGAAGGGGAGGACGTCACAAGCTCGACAAAAAAAAGCCGCCGTCGAGTTTAAAATGATGCGTGCGAGGCCAGGGAGGGCGGGTTGCTTGTGTACGGACAGTGCCGAGGCACGATGGGGTTAGGCGAGGTCACGGAGGACCCCCCCCCTAAAACTTCCATTTGTGCAAGGAGCCACAAGCAGTTATTAACCGGTTCACGTCGTTCACCACACGCACGCATCGAATCTCGCCCTGGAGAGGCCGCTATTTTTCGATTCGTTTCTACCGCACGTTGCGTGCAAGCGACTTTCACGAAGCCCCCGGCAGTGCCGCCAGGCACTGCACCGAGAAGCGAGCCCGGCCGGCACGTGGAGCGAAACGTCGGACGCCGTGCCAAACGACGCGTGTGGCCCTAACCCGAAAGACGCCGGAGATCTCCGCGGCAGTGCAACAGCGAAAACCTTCCCCAGCAGCAGAGACTCTGCATGCCCCCCCCCCCAACCCCTCTTCCATGTGCGTGCGCTCTCTCCCTCTGGACAATCCAACGGCCAAGCGAACCGCGGGACAGCCTTCAGCGTGGCCCCTTCGCCCACCGGGTGTAGGTCGCGTGCCACAGCCAGGTGGCGGACAGGCAGTACCCAAACATCTCGACGGAGACCGTGCCCAGCGACGCCGTCGCGAGCCGCGTTCCCGTCGCGGCCACCGCCCGCTCGCGCCACGTCAGGCACCGGCCGGCGAAGGCGGCGCGTGGGAGAGCGGCCCTTAGCGCGCGGCCTAGTCAGAAGGCACCGTCGGGCGAGTGAGGCTGCTGCAGGTGGTGGTGGTGCTGCTGCCACCCGGGCTGCAGAGGGAAGCAGTCTGGGTCCTGGGCGATGGGAGCAAGGCGTCCTCCTTGACTGCCGGTCTCACGGAGTGCTTGGGGGTGGCCCTGTCCTGTGGAATGGTTGAATTGATGCTCGTTTTAGGCAACGATCGGCATTGCTTTCACGAAAACCCACAACGATAGTTTCGTCTTTTTCTCGTGGTTTTATGTTCTTAAAATTCTCATTGTGCCCTGGAAATGGCGTTCATTGCACAACGATCAGTTTTGAACGTTTTAAGAGTTGCAAAACGGCCGACTCGGAGTACATGAAACACCAAATGTTGTACGATGTTTTCTTTTCTGCGGTCATTGTTTGCGGAGCTGTTATCGGCAACGCTAGATTTGAGAATAGGGTTTATGATCGTGTTTGGGTTAATCTCGGATCGTGCCTAGTTCCGGTGGAGGCGCTCCGAAATCTTTTGTTACCAGCTCCCTTTCCAGAACCGTGGCTCTCTTAATGCTGCACTTGACAGCAATGCGTTCAGGAGCTAGACGCCAACGGCGAGGTCTCCCTAGCCATGGAGGGCTTCGGCATAGAGTTCGTGGAGTTTGGCGATTCCTTTTCCATTGAAGGAGTGCAAGACCGCAGTAGTTTACGATATGATCCATAGTTTGGGTTGCATGGCCTCAATCGCACTGCCGTGGCTCATCGGCCTGTAGATGTTCTGATGCAGTTGATTGACGATGCGGGTGACGATGTTCTGATGAATCGCAGTGAACTGGTGGTGATGAGAATCCCACGCGGCTACTCTCAGACTTAAACCCACCTCCTCCCCTGCCACCCACTTATGAAATCCAGCATTTCAATGAATGTGCTGCCAAAATCAATATTTAAGTTGTCCTGTATCAATAGCCCGGTTATTTGGCAGTGCCAGCCCTGTGCTCTGGCAGCGTTAGCACTGGGCCACAGAGCTTAAAGGACAAAGTTATTAACGTTATTTTATGATCATGGTTCACTTTGGAAATGTCACACTTTACAGCACCTTCAAATAAAGTTGTGTTGAGACACGTTACCCAGTTCCGGATTAAGCTAGTGTCGGGCCTTGTAGCATAAAGGGGGCCTAAATAAAAGAAAACAAATATTAAAACTAATTTTTAACTTGCATAGTAAAGTCTTTTTTATGTATTTGCTATATAGACAGATAATACGACAAATCGCTAGCCTTAAACACCCAGTCGTTCATAAAATTTGAAGGCAGTATACTAGCATAACATAGTAATAGAGCAAATGCAGAATCACTGAACCGGAATGTATAGCTTGAAAGCATTTAGCACGGGGGCCTTTAAAGTGCGGGGCCCGTAGCATATGTAGCTACTTTTGCTTCTAGGGTAATCCGCCACCGACGTTACCGGAAAGCTCAATTGCGTCACATTTTAAAGTGTCATTTAATGCAACATAATTCAATCGTAACGAGTTGAGTGGGAGCAGCTGTGTGGAACTGCGCTGTGAACCCGGCGACCCATGTCCAATCCCAGCCACGGCCAACACCGGTGGTGAGTGAAGCAACATCAGTGATGAGTAATATCTAAAACTGTAAATGTTTATTATTGTAAATTCGAACACACTGTTTGAGACTAGGCTCTAAAGAAAGCCGTCTCTGGTGTGGACCAATCAGTTTCAAAGACAATGCACACACTGTCAGCGCATGTTTTTTTGCATGTTCACCACAAGTATGTGTGGTTAATGTAGACATGATTCCTTGCAAAGGTTTCAGTTTGCTGTTTTAACATCTAAACACTTGTTTTATTGCCAGAAAGGGGGGACAAACCTATTATCATGTTTATTATAGTAGAGTAAGGCTATGAGACTGCTGACCTGGGACCCAATTGCTCGAATAGGATTTACCAAAATCAAAAAAATCAGGGTAAGGTCCTATTCATGTTTTCATTATTATGACACTGGTATAAAGGTCCCATAGATAATCGATTCACCCATGTCACAACCACATCTTAAAAAGCCAACCCCACGGACTTTTTTCACAATGCTTTTTTAAAAAGTAACAATTTAAACATTTTTTTACAAAGCTCTAGCAGCATCAAGCACAGACCTTCTCCCTGGGCCGCTCCCCCATCATCGCTGGCCAACCGCAGACCCTCGGCAACGTCTCTATCCTCACGGGCATCCAGGCGACAAGGGGAAGCCTTGCAGAGTCCAAGCGTGCGCATCTACAGGAAACGAGACAGACTCACTGTGACGTCATGACACTTCAACTCTGCCGACAGCAGTGACGAAGCTTGGAAAGCAGTAAAGTTGAGTCAAACAACTCCTCGCGAGAGACGATGCAGAAAACCCCCTGGGCTTTGATCTCCACCCTGAAAGCCTATGGACCAATAACCCCACCCGCCCCCCACACAGCATCTTTCACTGCACATCACCAATGGCAGCAGCAGATGCTCGGTAGTGGTGAAAGATGCACACAATGGGAGATGACAAACTCCAGGCAGTGGGCCAAAACTGTGGTCACCACCCCAGCGCAGAACCACGTAGCCGTGTCACGTGGACTCAGTAACGACTCGAACATGGAGCAGGGGGGGGGGAAGCTATCGTCAGAACAGCAATGATTCACTACTCTGGCTACTCCCGGCACGATTGGTCTCATCCACCACCTAAATGTTAAAGGAGTTGGTCTACATTAGCCATATGAAGCCGATAGGCGTATTAACAGCAATCCAGTCATGTTCACAACTCAATTTTTCCATTTTCACGCAATTGCTGCGTGGGGCTGTTCGACATCACGAACCTTGCAACGAGTTCCATTCCTGGGCAGTTACCATCGTTAGCAACCGCTCAATTCTAGCTCCATCTCCCATAACCAAACCACATCCAGTATGGGCAATAAAAACCGACAGTCGAGGGCTTCATCCAGCAGGGAATTTAAGTATTGAATTGTCCACGTAGTTGGTGCACGACTCCTTCACAGCTGCTAGGTTGTTACCAGTAGATACGAGTCGACATGCAACCATGAATAGCAGTGTCTGTACCGTTAGGGAATGGGCAGGTAGTTAGTGCATTTACAGATGTGGATTAAGGAGCAGGTGTTCAAACACCCACCCCCAATCACATTTAACATAGCCCTTGGTGTGCAGAAAAAAACGTTAAGATGCAATACCCAACCCCCTTCCCCGTACACCAAATCCACCTACTCTTGACCAAGATGCGGGTAATCTCTTAAAAGGCAGCACTGAAGTTCCTCTTAAGCAGTGGATATATACAGCATCCAAATAAGATAAATTGACATCAGGGGTAACAAGTCAATACAAAACAGGGCTTTAGCGGGTTCAGCAGTGCTATAGCACAAAGCACTATCCCCCCCACCCCTGGGAAATCAGCTGCACACCCACGGGTCTCATGCATGAAAGGGTGATTGAAGAGTGCAGTAGGAAACGACAGCTGGCATTTAAGTGCAGGAGACAATTGGATGGTATAGCAGGAAGCCCAATTGGGTTTTATCAAGAGCCCTTCACCTGTTAGAAAACTTGAAAGGGGGGGGGGGGGGGCAGGTGGAGGGAAAAAAAATGGAAAGCGACAGGGTGAGTGGTAGGACAGCACTAGGTGCAGAGTGGAGGGGGATTTAACCAGGTGAAACAAGCTCAGAAAGACACCCACCCTATAAAATTGGTAGACAATCCAGGCCAAAAATGGGAGGTGCATTGGCAAATCTCAGGGGAGGCAAGGTGCCATTCGAGGTCGCAAGCTGGGCCAAGCTGCGTCCATTTGGAGCACTGTGCGACCTTTAGGGTCACAGGCCCAACAATAAGTATCCAGGCTAGAGACCCTTTAGTTGGTAATTAGCCACCATTAAAGCTGGTGCAGCACTCCCAAACCTTCCACTTAGGTGTAGACTCCAGGGACATGACAGCCCAAGCAGAACTGGCAAGCTACCAAATTGACACCAAAAAAAAGGGCGAGATGCAGTCGTCATGGGCAAGTGGGCCGAGGCCAAATTTCACTCGGGAGAATTAAACCACGGGTGGCTGCCCAGCTTTAACCAGGTTCAAGCAGCGGCAGCCCCATGTGCAGAGTCACCGCAAGGCCACGTGCAAAACGGCAGCCTCAACCCTCGAGCACGTTACTGGGGTCAGGTCACAAGGTCTTGCCGGAAGCTTTGGACAATGCGCACGGTCGTCACGTTGCAGCTCACGCAATGAAACGGGAATCACCACACACGAGTGCAAGGATGCGCAGCAGAAATTCGGTTTATTTATGTTGCACAGGAGGAACAAATGCGACATGTAGCCACCATTTTACAATATCTAAACAGGACCCTGACATTTTTGTAAAGTTACCAAGGCAAAACCAACGTCAAAAACGGGTGTCAATTAGTACAACCAGCACTGTAAACTTGACTGCAGATCCAGATTCCTCTCCCCCCCTCCCATCCATGTCAGCCGAGTGTCACAAGATGTTTTTGCCAAGGAAGCAGCATACAAAACTGACAAATAACTCTGCATGGTTCTGTAACCGCCAAGGATGTCAACACGACTAATATTTGGGATACTGGTGCCAACTGCTTCGTGCCATAGATTCAAAATTGGCCACTTATTTATCATTCGCTTGCGAAATTAGGCATTTGAACACCACTACAAATCCGGCTGGCTTCCAGTCCCTTAGCAAGACACTTTAGGGAGCCGTGGAACACCATAAAAAACACGTGCATATCAAGCTCCAACATCAATGTAACAATAGCGTTCAGTATATATTAGCCTTGGTGGTATCAGCAAACTAGGATAAACTTGACAAGGCAGTATGGATGGATGGGGGGGGCACCGGGCAAGGTTGTTAGTTGGTCACAGGTCATCGGCGAGCTCCCCGGGGAAGCCAAACACGTGGCCGTGGTAGAAGGGACCTACCACCCAGTTCAGCGACGAGTTGTTGATGGCGTGGTCGTATGCACGGTTCACCACGGCCGTGCACATAGACTTGGCCACGGCGAGAGAGCGGCGCGTCAGCCAGCTCACGGGCACCAGCGCCTTGGAGAGCAGCAATGGGATTTTGATGGTGCGCTTCTGAGACTGGGGGAGGTGGTGGGGGGGGTGTAGACGAGACTTCAAAAAAAGTGGCAAGGTATCGATACATCAGTTGCACAATTAACCAGAGCGGATCCACACTAAAAGTGCGCCAAAAAAAGCGGTGATAAGCACGAGTTGAGCAAGCATTAACTGTGGGTAAAAAGGGCCAAACTAGAACTTTAAGAGATGGTTGGCATGAGGCCTTCGTCACCACAACTGAAGCGGCATTCCCCCTTCCCCTTGCATGAAACGTGCTACAAACAGCACCAATGGCAGGGGGTATGATGTGCACTAGCAGGAGGCCATATGTACATCAGCGTCGCTGGGCTCCTGCTGCTCGAAGCCCACGCAAGAGTTGTGGATGTCGCTCGCTCTACGTGCACACAGGTCGTAGAGGCCTCGTGTCACGCGGCCGGCCAGCAACGCCACGCGCACCACGGGGTGGGAATCCTTCCTGGGGTAGGCTGCCTCCGCTTCGGGAGCCTTTCCATCTGCAAGGTCGGGGGGGGGGGCGGAAGAAGTCAAAAACGCACATGCCGGTGGTGCTGTGCACAAGGGAACCCACATCCCTAGATGTGGTGTGACGGAGGGTCAGTCATCTGGTGCAGCCAGCTGTGTTGCTGCCTGGAGATTTTTTAATCGACTGGATTTGACAAAAGGTTTTGCCATTGCAGAGACTGGCCATGTAAAACGGCGAGGCATGATTTTTGTGCAACCCAGGACTGCTTAGCACAAAAAGTGCTCCCCCCCCACCACCTCGTGTGAAGGTTTTTATACAGCCATTGGTGATAGTCACAGCCATGAACTTCCATGAGACCTTCAGGACTGTTTGAAACAACAACCGGTGCTTGGCAACTCTGCATTCGACCTTTTCATTATAAAGCAGTCACCCAGCATCCGTTACAAATCTAAAAATCTGCCATGGACGCAACTTGGGACCAACGTCTGTTGGTGCAATTTGAGCATTACTTCATCTTCCTAGATGGGTCTCATGTGCCATAAAATAGGATCGGGCCCTATATTAGAATGGATCAAAATACGATGCGACGGGTCATTTAAAATTTTAATAAAATTACCACTGGTTCTTAACATGGGTGCGAGACCTGGCCATATATTAGGCGAATATTAAAAACTGCCCGTGCTCAATATTTGTATTTACAAATGATGTCAAAACCTATGTATTTAACACTTAAAAACCAACAGGGGGTGGTTACAGCCACAGTAAAAGGTTTTAGAACCATCGACGTACATAAAAAAACAGCCACGGGTGGGCCATCCAAGGGAGTTGCAGGACTCACCGTCGTGGCCTCGGCCCTTCAGGTAGCAGCCGATGTACTCTTCAGTGCGGCACAGCACGCAGTCCACGCCCGACATCAGCATGGGGCCCAGCTGGCCCAGACGGCTGCCCAGCAGGGAGCGCGAGGCGCTCACGGTGCCCGAGAGCACGCTGGCAATGGCGCCAGCCACGCTGCCCAGGGCGGAGGAGGCAGCCGGAATCTCGCCAGACTCCACCACCTGCGCACAAATTAAAAAGCAGAGTTCCGCAAGATTGTATAAATATTTTTGGCCGATTTGACAGGTTTAAAGTGCAACGTCTACATCTCGTTTGATTTAGCAGTAACGGCTCAAAATACAAGCGTTGTATACAAGGCCCATGTTGTGGTAGGCACTCACCATTTTTAAATCCCAAATATAAATGTTACGTTAAGTGCTCCAACAAGCAAACAGTTTACATTAAGCACACATGACAGGCCATGCGGCGGTGCATTTATTCTTCAAAATGCATTGTGGGGCCATATTAAAACTGCCAAAGTACTGAAAAAAAAACCCCTCCTCCAGGTCTACATTTCCATGGAGACCAACCTCGTGGTTGGAGGAGTGTAGCAGCGACGGCAGCTTCGTCTCCAGGAAGTCCACACCCTTCACCACCAGACACCCAGCCATCGCAACTGGGATGGCATGAACCTCATTACAGTCACGTCTCACACCAACCACATCTTCCAGTCAGGCGACTTTCGTTTGGAGCTTTTACGGTAAAAGATTGGTTGGGCCAAAGTGACACTTGGGCAACTCATCTTTTGCCGAACGTCAGCAGCAAGCCTCGTTAAAATAAAGGGTGCTTCAAAAAAAAGTTAACCGAGAATTTGCAATGTTACAAGAAATGTGCCTTTCAGGTTCTGGAGACGATTTCAGGCATTTGACAAAGATGCCAAGTGGACTGGTTATGCAACTATTATCCATTCAAAAAACGACTCAAAAAAGGTGAGAACTTGTTTAAGCACCCTCTATTGCCGTGCAGCAACATTTTAAATCATGTTGCCACGTGGGAGGCACCAACTGCTTAGCAAAATTCATGGCAAACACAAACTCTTGAGCATCACCCCTCATGACACCAAAAGGTATAGGACACGACATCAGCAGAGTTACCTTGGGGAGGAGCAAGGTTAAGCCGTTTAATATCCGACGACTGGTCAGGCCCCCCCACTAGTTAGAGATGGCCAAGATCAAGATGGGTCGTGGTGGCTTGAAGACAGTAGTCAAATACCATGGACACAGCACTGCCTTCAAAATCGATTGCATTAGTACTAAAAGCCTAGTGCAAGACTGAACAAAAATAGTAATTCCACCCCCACAATCTACTCGTACGTTTGAGTGGATCGCTTTCAGCATTACATATATTCAGCCCACAGAACACGATTTTTTTTAGATCGCTGCACTAGTCGAGCCAACCCCACAGCTACTCACGTTGCGGCTTCAGGGCCCAGGCCACAGGCCAGACGGAGGTGGAGGCCACAGAGGTGGCGACATAGAAGCCAGTCTCGGCGACCTTGCACGTGGCACCCACGACACCACCCCAGGCACGCACAGCACCGTAGGTGCCCCCCACCCGGTTCAGCAGAGAGGCCACCAGCGGCACGCGGTGCAGACGCGCCACCACGCCCTCTCCCTCCGTGGTGGTGGAGACGTGTGGGTCCACCGCATGGCTCTGCGGCGCCTCCACGGAAGCCTGTGGGGGCAAGGTGGTCATCAACCTCCCCCCACCACGGCTAGCATTACCACTAGAGCCAACAACCACCCAACATCGTTATGCATATTTGCAAGACGATCTACCACGCTAGCACAAGATTCTTGCCGTTTGGAATGGGGGGGCCCCGCACCGAAGCCTCGTTGAGTCCCACGCACTGCAAGAGTCGGAGGCCCGAGTTTTACAGCCGTGCACAATGTAAGTGCATAGCACTTGAACGGCGGTGCTGGGGAGGCCCCACGCAAAACCTAGCCCGAACGTTATTCCAAAATAAGCCCAACAGTTGTAAGACGGTCCGTCTGGATCAACGAGGAGCATGCATAGTGGGGGAACACTCCCCCCCCCACCACTCCTAAAAGCAAACATCACTGAATGCCAGTACTAGCAAGCCTTCAGGAGCATAGGCAATGGGGGCACCCCCCCCCCCCCCCCCTATTAAGGACCAGAGCTGCCTATTTTAGGCTTGGCTTTTAAAAAGCCATAGTCGTTTTGGTGGACCATGCACTTTGGGAGGCACCTGTACGAATTACAGAGTCAAGTTGGAGTTACAGAGCACTTGGCCAAGGACCACACAAAGCAGAGAGTGGACAAACCTCACACTGCTGTTCAACGTATTCAGCCATTGGGAATCCTCGAACTAATTGCAGAGACCTTGGGGAGGGGCAGAGGAGAAAGCAGAGATTATAAACGGCAGTAACAAGGACAGGGCTCATGTTTATCAGGAGGGCCAACAAAAGGCACACCCCCCCCTCCCACCCAGTACAGGCTGGCATGCTCAAAGCGATGACTCTGCAGGTAGTAGGTATCCGTCTATGGGCAAGAACAGAAACCTGTAACCAACCCGGGGTGTTAGACAAACCTGAAGGTCGTAGCGATTTACCTGCACAACACCCTCCCTCACCTGTTGGACACAAGGAAACTGCCGTAGTGCCACATCGGCCTGTACTAACAAGTGGTTCACCTGGACCGGGTCTCCGTTTAAATCATGCAAGGCTTTTGCAATCAAAGCCAAAAACGGATGGTTCTCATTACCAGTCCAGGACCGAACAGAAACTACGGGAGGAAAAAGGTGGCCAAAATGGATTGTCAAAGTGGTGCCCCATTGCACAACGGACTTAAGTCAGGAGTCTGTCCTTAGGCAGATGGACAAACTACCCAGGGAACCAGCTACTTCAACCAGAGGATGATGCCAGCAAAACCAGGATGGGTGGCAACCCAAGTGGCTGGCCTTAAAAAAAGCTCCAGGCCGTGTCAGACCCCACGTGCCGCTGGCATCCAACACCTCAGTTGTCAGACGGAGCTCTGGCCAGAAACTTCAACCGCAGTTATTACAGCCCACTAGGCAGTAGCCACCCGGGGGAGTTTGTTGTTTCGTAATCAAATGTAGGGAGGGAAATTGGGCAGTAATCAGGCAGGCTTCAGGAACCGAGCAGGATAATTGCAGACCGAGATCTGGAGCCACAGTTGGCAAGAGGGCTTAAAAAAATGCCATGTTAAACCAAAACAGGGATTGCGCACCCCACCTCCACGTTACATTCTACCCCTAGAACCTGGCAGACCTCGGATTAATTTGTGGCAAGGCACCAATTATTAGAGAACAAGTTTCCAGATCCGTTTAGAAAACCGGGGAGGCATGAGTTGCAATGCTCCCACAGGATGTGCGTCATATATTTACAAAGCCCACTTACTCGGAACCTGGCCTACAGAGGATAGAGAAAGGGACTTAAAAAAAAGCCCAAATTAAAACGCCACATTGGTTTGGCTGGAATCCATTATCTAAAACCACTTCACATGCAGCCACACACACAAGAACGTTAATCCCAGAGATTTGTTTATATGGCATGCGTTTACTGCGCTAATGCAACATTCACAGTACTCCATCGAAACTAAATTAACCCCATCGACGACTTCAATACCACAAACACCAAAACAGCCACTTGTCTCACCACAGGAGACCTGTACACAGCTGTTAATGGGGCTTGTACACTCCAAAAAATAAGTGGCACTCAATTCAGCCTTGCAGGGATGCCGCTGCTGGAAGTGCTTCGCGAGAGCATTTGGCCTACTGTCACACTAGCCAGACGTATTAGTTTAAAAAAGCATCTACCTTTACACTACCTCAATTAGCCAAACGACGGTACACATTTTCCACACGTGCTAGTGCATCCCGACAGCAGTTATCACCCATCAAGCCATGCGGCCCGCATTACCTGCAGTGCTGGATGGTTACGGGCATTGTCAAGTCACAATTTGGCATGGTTATTAAAAAAACCTCAAGCCATCAGCTCTCCTGGTGGAGAGCCACACTTCACCGTTGGTGGTTCGAGTCAGGGCGGCGGGTGTGGGCATCACCTCGGGTTCGAATTCCTTTGAAAAACGTCGGTGCACGTTGCAGCTGTGTCCCCTCAAGGGGCAAACAAAGCGCAGAAAGTCTTGGGTTTAGACGATGACTACTTCCCTTCTTGTAGTAGCGAGCGTCATGGGATGATTACTACACGATACAATGACTAGATATTCCTGCCATGCACGATTGACATTGAAAAAAAATGGGCTGCCATAAAAAGGTGCTGTTGAGGTGCCGAAAAACAATGCTATACTGCACTTCTATGCTCCCCCCCCACCCACAGACCGATGCCCCTGGTATTACTCGGTCAGTCCATGCAGTCACCCTTCCAGATTCCATGTGGACGAGGCTTACCCCCCCCCCCCCCCCCACCACGTAGCTTTCCAGTTTCAAACCTCTAAATTACCCCCCAAAGATAAAAATGGGCACAAAGCCATTGGCCTGGATTTTGTGCACTGTATTACAAACGCGATCGCCATCCGTATTCGGCTTTTGGGGAATTTTTGCCGATATCGAGCACCTATTAAAGCCCAGCACAAGTGCCGCTAGGCGTGACACGACCGATGCGCGGCTGTATTTGTCTTCCCCCGCCCCAGCACAGACAAAGGCAGAGTCGATCTTAGGCGAGACCCAAGGGGGCGTGAGGGGGGGGGGGTCTACTAAACATTCGCCACCCGATGGCTGGGGAGTGGACGGGAATTCAAAGCGGGGGTTACCAGATTCGTATGCGCGAACCACTACGCCACAGCTCCCCGTATCGGGGGGGTCGTGTACGCGACACTCCAAAAAGGGGCTCCCCCACGCACATCGCTCAAAACGCGCGCCTCACGAAGCGGAGCCGATGCACGCCCGTGCTGTAGCAAGGGTTAGGGGAGCACGCGCTGTTAGGGAGCACCTATTAAGGCCGGCACACGGTGTAGCTGGCACCACGCCTCGGCCGCCTTTGTCTCTCCTACCGAACACCAGCCAGGCAACGCCGTCACGATAATGGAAAGAAAAAAGCCACACGCGATGTCGCGGCCGCACGGTGGACAAAGAACCCTCCCCCCGTGTAGCCTACACAGCCTTGCGGGACAAGGGCTGCTAGCGAGCATATTAACGCCACCAGGATGTGGTCAGCACCACGCCCGGCTGCCTTTGTCTCCCTTTCCTAGGATGCAGCGTTAAAGCATCCTACTCGTAAAAGAAGAGGTCAAAGCCGACAGAGCCATTTCTAGAACAAACCCCCGCTAACCAACATTACCCCGTGGCAGGGAAGGCAACTCAAGTCGCAGTGTTGGTAGTAAGCGCAGTGCGGCATAAACCCATCACAAACCCACACACACACACACGTGTAGCGCTGGAAACACGCTCACCGCCGCAGCGATGGCCACTATCAAACCGTAACCCGTGCGGGTAAGTTTACCCACCCCCGTGGTGGTTGTGGGTCGCCGGAGGAGAGCGTGGAGAGAGAGCGTGCGTGACACCCACGGTGTGGAGGGATGGACACTCACCGTCGGGGGGGAGCTGAGCGACTGAGCGAGCGAGCGAGCGAACTCCGAGGCAGAGGCGGTGATGACGCAGCGTCGTGCAGACACTCAAGCGCCACCACTATTTATATCCACAGCGCGCACGCAATGAACGCACAATGGGCACACGGAACAACTCGCTGTTTACGATTGCAGTTGCGTGCAGGGCGACCCATTTGAGTGGCGCTATCGATTGATAAGTGGTCACGTGCAGAGAGAGGGGGATCACGGTGTGTGTGTGTATGGGGGGTGGGGTGTGATTACGAACTAATTGGGATGATCGAGAGAAACGCTGCACGCAAAGACAAAGATCCCCCGGATAGCCTGTCACGGACTGTTGGGGCAAGTGCTGTTGGCGAGCAGCACCTATGAAGGCCGACACGGCACACACGAGGGGGTAGGGTGGCCAGCACCACGCGCGACTGCCTTTGTCTCCCTCGTGGCGATGTTCACACACCGCACCAGGTATATATTATACTGGTAGGAACGAAGTTGTAAACTGAGTGTACCAGCCTGCAATAGATTAATGTGTCCGTCCGTCCCCTTTCAATACTTTAACGAAGTGAAATCTCGTGCTGTTGGGTGTAAAATCAGCAATAGACAGCGCAGAGACTTGATATGTCTTATTGCACCCAACATTTGGAAGTCACAATGTCATAAAATTGCGCAAAATTCCAATGTTCCTACCAGCCCACCCTGCAGGGACCTGTTATGCATGATTTCATCTCCCCCTGTGATCACTCGATTGGCACCGTTAATGGGCACGTACGTGTATTGAACTTATTTCGCACCGTGCGTATAGCCCAACCGTGCACGCTAATCGGAGGGTGCTGGAGTTTGTGAGTTGAGCACGTGGCGAGGGGGTTGGGGATTGACACAAGCTGGCACTGGCTTCATTGTCATTGGGTAATTGGGAGTATAGAGATATATCAGTGGGTATTACCCTGGGGGTGCATGCTGCACCCCCTGGGGGTACGAGATGCCCTTCTGGGGGTGCGGGACGTGGCCAGATTTCTTTTAGAAAGTAAATAATCGAAAGCACAAATTAAGCACGGGTACGTAAGGGGCCGTCCATAAATGACGTCACGCACCTAGAGGGGGAGGGAAGGTCAGACATTTGTGACGATGTGTGACGAGAGAGGGGGGGGGGGTTTGAGAAGTGTAACGTCATATCAAAATGCGCAACTTTAAATAAACATAGACAACACGTTATACTTAATTAAATTGACTTTTTAATAAATGTTTTCTCCTACAACATCAGAGTGCAGCGCCACATTAAATACGCACTACAATGACAATAGTTTAAAGCGATTTGAAGCATGTTTTATTTTCAAAATGGAAATATGGTTTTGGGGGGGGGGAGGGCAGAGCTTTGTGACGTCATATTTGAGAGGGGGGGGGGTCTGACTTTTTGTGACGCCGTGTGACAAAGGGGGGGGGGGGGTCAAAAATCGTCCAAAATCGCGTGACGTCATTTATGGACGGCCCCAAACCGTTTCATGAGACCTGACAACAACAACAACAACAGCAGAGGCGGAGTTTGACTTCGATGTTTGCGTGAGAGGGCAGGGGTGCGTCTTGTCCTTCACATTATAAATCGCGGGTGCATATCATTAGTTAATGTGTATATATATTTTTGAAGATCTCAATTGTAAACTACTTAAAATAGATTTGAAGTTTTCGTGACTGCAGGGATCCATGCCCTTTGCTTCTTTCGGGAAAAGTCACGTGGTGGGTAGAAAATAAAATAAATTAAATCACGACGTTCCGGGCGCAACGCAAGCGTCCGTCATCAAGGT